CGGTATTTTGAGGAGTAGGAATAGGAAGATTGTTGGGATTCAGGGATTGGGGAGGGATTTGAAAATAAAACTTGTTATTGACCATCACCTGTCGGTGTTTCTCAGGAGCGTTTCGTTTACACCCTGTATTTAATGTAATATTTTCACCAATGTTATGATATTACCTCAACAAAGTCATTTCATAACACACTCCATGTCCAAATTAACCTTCAAATACATACAAATAAAAAAAACTCTCAATAAATTAACCACTGGCAACAAAAAACTATGTATTGCCCGCACACAAAAAAATTCTACCAACGCGGAAAAATACTACCAATTTGTAGTTTCTTCAGTCACTCATTTAAAGCAAATACATGATCGTGTATTTAATAATTAAATTATTGACTAATTAATATGGGTATATGGAAAAAATGTCTTTTATTTAATCTAGGATATAAGCAGTCTATGATAATATCACTTAAATCAAAGATATGGCAACACTAAATGTAATGGCAAGGTGATAGTATAGTCGTGGTAAACTCGATTATTTTGAAAAGCTATTTTTGTATGAAAAACAGGGTAGGCAGAAGTAGAAGTCGGTTGTGAATAAATAACAATAATATTGTGTTTTTGACAATAATTATTATTAATTGGTAATAGAGATATCAAACACCAAACGTTAGGTTAGAAATTAAAGAAATTCAATAACTAAATCAAAATAACCGAGTTTTTACATCACATAGCAGTGCTCATCTCAAAAACAAAGCAAGTTTATACAAATAAAATCCATTTAAAATTATTTCAACGATTCTGTACCTTATTTCCACATACATAAAGACGAAATATTAGAAAAATGCAATTCACCTTCATTAGTCATTTTATAAAAGAAATAGAATTCAAAATTACTAGACAAAATTATTATAAATACAACATAATATTATATAATCAATAATACACCTTTATGCCACAGAAATAAGGCTTTAAATCGTTTAAATCGCATAAAATAACACATTCTAATAAAAAATTGGGTATTTCCAAGATGTTATACAAGTCAACACGTGAAAGTTTCATAGCCCCTACAAAACGTTCGACTATTCTGTCACCTCAAAATTGATTAAAAATAAAACAAAATATTCGAAAATAATATCCCAAACATGACACGTCACATAGAAAATAGAAAATCTAACTTTTGTTGTATGACATTAAAGTTCAAATTCATTTGTCTTTTGTTACAAGTATCAAAACCTATTTTCGTGTAACGTAATCAATAAAAAAGGTTTAAAAATAAAAGATTACAACCTCTTTTCTTCTGTCCTCATCGATATGTTCAGCCTTATGTACACTACATACATTATATTTTATATTTACCATAACGATAATAATTGAAAAATACTAAATTTAAAGCTAACAATAATTTTACCATTAGGGGGAAATTTTTCTACCAATGTTCTTGTATTTATTTCATATGGCAACACTGTTGTATAGTCCGATTTTTAAATTAAAACGAGATTCATTGTTCGATTAATAGGATTGGACGAAATTAAAAAATATATTTTGGCTACACAACACAAGTGGACTACACATGTGACGTTTGTTGAGTGTTTAAAAACGACTTTTACATAAAAATGGTCAAATTAAAAAACCTTGTTGACTGGACAATCTCTTCACATGAGCTGCTGTTTACATGTGAACATTAGCTCATGACGATACCTAAGTACGTGTGTCGCCTGGACAGTCACCGCTACCATCAGTTGACTGGACAATCTCTTTACATGAACTGTTGTTTATATTCTAAACCTTAAGATTCAAAATTCTCAAAGTCGTTTTTAAAAACTCAATAATCTAGAAGCTGTTTAAATTTATTAATTTATGTATAAAAATCTATTGTATACAAGATAATATTTAGTTATGTATACGAAATTTTACATATTATATTTTACAGATTTGCATAGAAAATGTATCTGTCAAATGTTTTGATAAATATTTGGGCACGATTGTATAATATTTGAAGCGCTTCGCATCAAGCTTCCTTGTGCGTACTGCGAAGGAGGGGAATTCTATGCTAGAACCTGTGTTTCCTGAAGGGTATAACTTGGTCGTCTTCAAGGCCCGAGTGAATAGGTTGCTTATGGGACGACGTACTCTATCGTAGACCGCATCATCGCATCATCAATTCATTATCAAACGTCGGCTTATCAAATATATCTTTATATATGTATATAATTCTTCTGTGAGTGTATACGTCACTGAACTTCTCTCAAACGACTGGACCGATTTTGATGAAAGTTTTTGTGTGTGTTCATGGGGATCTTGGAATGGTTTAGATTCACAAATCAGCCCGGCAGACGGCGCTGCAGTCGATTCCAGGTTAATTATCCAAAACGGCGGAACTAATTTGAATGAATTTTTGTTTATACATTCAAGTTGATATGCAGGACAACGTCTGTCGGGTCCGCTAGTATACATATAAAAAACATCCTATTTAATACTGAGAATTTTCGGAAAATAGGATAAAGTACAGCTTTATTAGACCCCGGATCAGTTCCCGAGACCGTTTGTAATTGGTTCCAGAATACCCTTTCAATAATCTGTACTTAACTCGAGGCCTCAACCTCAATAGTCCCTCTTAAAACCACTGAATAAAACGTACTCCTATATTTTCATAAACGTTCCTAATTATCAGACCATTTTGACAGTACAATGTTCATGTCAAACTAATCAGTGTCACATGTGTAGTTGTCAATTAATAATCTATGGCAAGAAGTGACGTGGATGTCAAAATATGACACTTTTGTAAGTCAAGGACTTTAAGATGAATAGAGGTTGACAATTTCATAAATACCAAATTATTAATATTATAATATGAAGGGACATTCGATAATATCTTGTTCACCATCATCATCATCGGCCTGTAACTACCATTGTTGGACAAAGGCCTTCTCATACAGAGAAGGAATTAGCATCACTACGCTTGTTCAATGCTCGACACCTAGTAAGTACCACTGTGACTTTTTCCGAGTTATATGTACTTTCTAAGACGTTTGGACACCATTGACAACGGTGAAGGAACACATCGCGAGGAAACCTGGGCTTATAATTTCTGATTATAGGTTTGTAACCACCAACTCGCATTGAGCAAGCGTGGTGATTAATGCTCAAACCTTCTCCGTGTGAGAAGAAGCCTTTAGTCAGCAGTGGCTGATGATTTACTAAACTTTACGATATAATCAACCTCTACCAAATCCCAAGGCCCGATCAATGTATCGATTATGGCACATCACTAACAATCGATTATAAAATCGATACCCATCCACGCTAACTTATATACAATCTATCAGGAGTTACATCCAGACAAGTGATTTTTTTATATTTATATAAATTCAATGTGTCTTTCCATTGCTATTAGTTTTATTGCTGTTCTTTAATCGATATCGATGTTTTAATGTATCGATATGTATAGCTGCTCTAGCTAGAAATTTTTGACGTCAAAAATGTTCTCGCTTGATAATATGTAACTTTGTTATTGCGACATTCTAGATCAGTGACATCGTGAGTATTCTTAATTCTTGTCTAGCAGTGGACTACGGGCCGCATTGTCAAGGGCTGTTGATGTTTTGATGTCAATATCAAAGCGTGTACACACGGCTACATATCGAGCTTTACATAACCAGTATAAACTGAATGTTAAATGTGCGGAAAGATGATGCGACGCGACACCAGGGTAAACTGGTTTTGTATAGATTGATGTGTGGCCGTGTGTACGACTTTGTTTTACCTTAACGAGATCAAACGAGACCCCGTTCGGCTGTATGATTGGCCGGCGTTAATGATCTCAACCAATCAAAACGCTGAACGCGACGCGACTGAGCCCTATTCTCTAAAAGGGTAGATGGAGGTTTTCATTCACCTTTCATTTCCACTTATTACATCTTTCCCGAATAATCCAAAGTCATTTTGAAAACAACAAAGTTGCATATCACCTTTTTACTAAGTCGGTTTATTAGTGACATAACAATTAAATCAGTCATGAATACTTTGGTACGTCCATATGGCAAGTTCTTTCCTTTATAAGTTTAGGTTTCATATCAAAAAAGTATTACACCTACATTCTTTTTGTAACAGTCGGTTAAAAGGATCGACTTTATGACCTATTATTTTTCAAATGGGTAGGTACAAATGTATAATACTCTCATATTTCACAGCTTGGACTTTTATGGATGACCCTAATGCCAATGGCTGGTGACTTTGTTCACTTTAGGCAATTCCATTCAGTGATAAGCATCACTAATATCACTCTATGGGCGAGTCTAAACACCAGCCACCTAAACTAATAGATGCTCTATACCATTTTTAATACAAAACCCAACTCTAGTCGTTTTTATCGATATTTTGTCATGGCAACCCTAAAAGATCAGTGTTGCCGTCGTTAATAATATAATTATGTAAAGATAACTTTACAATAATGCTGAAAATCCCTGAAATTAATCGAGTCCATGGGACTCAGTGTACCTGGAAAATGGAAAATGAACACATTAAAAATATTGCTTACCTTTTACTCATAATAGTTTAATCAATCAATCAGTTAAGCAGTCGGTTAGTGTTTGTCTTTAAATACAACACTGACTTAAAATGAGCATAGAAAGATAATTAAAAATGGCTTCCAATGGTAAAAAATGGAGAACTGTTTTTAATTTTTTTTGAATATGTGATATTGGGTAGAAAATGTGTATTGTAGAATTAGATTAACTCACTGAAAAAACAAACTGTATGAGTGACAAAGTCAGTCTGACAGACAGATCGTCAGTTAGTCAGTGAGTGAGTCAGCCAGTCAGTGGGGGAGTGAGTCACAGTCAGTGAATGAGTGAGTGAGTAAGTGAGTGAGTGAGTGAGTGAGTGAGTGAGTGAGTGAGTGAGTGAGTAGTAAGTAAGTGAGTGAGTGAGTCAGTCAAGAGAATTGTACATCTATAGCTGATTATAAAGCTAGTTGAAGTAGGTACAGTACCTAATGCCTGGCGGCGGCGGCGGCGGCGGCGGCGGCGGCGAGGGCGAGCGCGGCGCAGAGCGCGGCGGAGGCGGGCGCGCTCGCCTCGCCCGCGCCGCGCAGCACCGCGCCGCCCACGTACGTCACGGACAGGACCAGCCCGTGCGCCGTGCATCTGCCCACGAGGACAATATTAAAACTAATAAAAACTTAGGAATAGGAGCTCGCTACGTCACGCCTAAGAAAAAAATATATAAAAGTGATCTCATGAGATAGTTCCAATCTAAACCATTATAATCGAAAGACTTCGTTTTTGTAAGAAAAGAAAAAATACGTGACAAATGTCCGCAATCAATATACCAAACGAACATCATACTAATATTATAAATGTGAAAGTTTCTTTGTATGGATGTTTGTCCGTCAATCACGCTGAAAGAATACAGGTATACAGGCAGGGTATGGGCTGACTTAGGTGATAGGATACTTTTTATCCCGATTAAGTTCTCCCATGGGATAAAACAGGAATCATATTATACACGAACGAAGTCGTGGGCAACAGCTAGTGAAAAATAAATGATTTATTATCCAAGTTATATTATTCACGACCTATTCTTCGGCACGATAATATACCGCGCCCAAATCCTAACCCTTAAAGACTAAAAATATTGTATGGATATCAAGATTAAGAGTGTGTGAGATCAAATATCAGATCGACCCGCCGTCAGGAAGGGGGTAAAATTCTAATTAGTAATTTTTACCCAAACAAACAAACGGGACAAGCTGAATAAAACCCATTTCATAATACACTAGCTTCTGCCCGCGACTTCGTATGCGTAATCCCATTTTTTCCCGTCACCGTTCGTAATTTTCGGATAAAAGTAAAAAAAAAATTGGTTAAAAAGTATCCTATGTCGGTCTCCTGGCTCTAAGCTGCCTCCCTACCAATTTTCAGCCAAATCTATTCTACCGTTCTTGAGTTATAAGTGGTATAACTAATACGACTTTCTTTTATATATATAGATAATAAAATAAAGTCAACGTTTACGACTTACCTCAAATTGTGTGGATAAGAATCCACGACGCTAACTCCCACGGAGTAAAATATCAGCGTTATGAAGAATCGGTAGACGGCTTCTACGACGTATAGCGCTGTCTCACTCTGCGCTATGTAGACCAAGGGAGACAGCAATATGCACGCTCCACACATCGCCACTGGAAGGACAGTAGCATAGTTATTAAATTGCCTTTTTAAAAGTATGAAAATTTAAAATAACATAACATAACATCACGCCTTTTATCTCCGAAGGGGTAGGCAGAGGTGTACATTACGGCACTTAATGCCACTGTACAATGTAACACCCACTTTTCACTATTTATGTTATGAGTCCCATGTAATAGGGGGTGAGCCTATTGCCATATACCGGGCACCATTCCAGGCTCCGTGCTACTACTGAGATTTTTTGAAAAAGCCTAGTAAAACTAGTATCGAACCCGAGACCCCTTGCCCGGCAGTCGCAATAGCGACCACTCGGCCAACGAGGCAGAAAATTTAAAATATATTTTTTCAATCGGTCAGTGAGGTAATGAAACAATATTAGAGACGTATTTATTTAAAACAATACTTAGATAAAACGAATCAAAGTGTACGACCACTCCTAGCTCTCATGAGCTAGCTACGTCAGTTGTACGTTTAAAACGTCCCTAGAAGTGACAAAACAAACAATACGTGTCTAATGTTTTGAAATGATCTACCAGACGGACATTAAAATACATAAACATAACATCACGCTTTTTATCCCCGAAGGGGTAAGCAGAGGTGCACATTATACCACTGTACAATGTAACACCCACTTTTCACTATTTATGTTATGAGTCCCATGTAATAGGGGTATAACAATTCCAGACTCCGTGCTACTACTGAGAATATATATAAAAACCCAGTAATACTTTGCCCGACCCGGGAACCGAACCCGAGACCCCTTGCCCGGCAGTCGCACTTACGACTACTCGGCCAACGAGGCAGCACATTAAAATAAAAGTTAATCATCTACCTTAGATTTCATACATTTCCGATAACATATACTTACCGACAGGCCGTAAGTTCTGGGGCATAAACGCGACGAATGTAACGAGGAACATGGCGTGCGCCACGTAGCTCTGTTCAGTAGTCATCCCCCCCAGCTTGGACGTGAGGTCTGCGTGGCGGGCGCATCCCCCCTGCATCCCCCGCACTACCGTATTGTTGAATATACACCACTTGTCGAACTCTCTCTCTACTTCCATGTCCGTGTCTATTATTCTGGAGAAGATGATAATATTTTAATAAAAAATATAAAAACACATATTGCCCACTTCTCATGCATTAAACCGCGAGCAACTTACTTACGCAGTTGACTGCACGGTTGGTGCGGTGGCTGGGCAACCGGCTGCCGTGCAACGTATTGCGGGTTCGATTCCCGCACGGAACAACACTTTGTGTGATCCACAAATTGTTGTTTCGGGTCTGGGTGTGATGGTGTATGTGAACTTGTATGTTTGTAAACGCACCCACGACACAGGAGAAAATCCTAATGTGGGGGCAACGTTTTTTTTAAAAAAAAAAAAACTTTTTCTGAGTTATATGTACTTTCTAAGATTATCTAGACACCACTGACTAACGGTGAAGAAAAACATCGTGAGGAAACCTTACAATGTCTAATTATAAGTTTGTAATCGCGAGCGATCGTGGTGATTAATGCTCAAACCTTATCACCGTGAGAAGAGGTCTTTGCTCGACAGTTGCCACTTATGGATGTCGATGTGATGTGAGTAACTTAATTGTCTTACTAACATTATAAATACGAAAGTTCATGTGTATATTTGCGACTCAATAATAGCAAAACGGGTAAAGGGAACAGAATGAAATTCGGAACCGGCGTAGATTATGGTCAGACAGAGATAGCACGATATTTTAGCACAACTTAAAATTTATTAGCCTTTCAGTATTCGGGCGATAGGCTACTTTTTATCCCATGAAACCACTGATAGGAGCTAGTATCTATATATATGAAACTAGCTACTTTCGCGCCGTTGCACCCTGCTCGGCTACTATTGATCGTAGCGTGATGTGTTGTAGCCTATAGCCATCCTCAATAAATGGACTATCTAACACAAAAAGAATGATTAAAATCGGACCAGTAGTTCCGGAGATTAGCGCGTTCAAACAAACAAACAAACTCTTCAGCTTTATATCTTTAATATATAATAATATATATAATTCTTCTGTGACTGTGTATGTCACTGAACTTCTCTCAAACGACTGGACCGATTTTGATGAAATTTTTTGTGTATTTTCAAGGGGATCTGGGAATGGTTTAGATTCACAAATCATCCCGGCAGATGGTGCTGCAGTCGATGTTTAGGTTACTTATCCTAAACAGCTGAACTAATTTGAATGAATTTTTGTTTATATATTCAAGTGGATATGCAGGACAACGTCTGTCGGGTCCGCTAGTAGTAGTATAAGATGAGTGTTTAATAATGGTATACTCACGTGCTGTTGACAAACAGACATCCCTCGAAGGTAGTGAACGACGTCTTCAGGTTGGAGAGCGCGACGTCATAGAAGGAACAGTTCCTGAACGCCACGTGTGATATCAACATGTCCCGTATAGTGCATTTATTGAACGTGACATTGTAGTACTCTATGTTCTCTAGCGTTGTATTGTAATGGATGTCCGTCAGGGTCTCGTTCCCTATGCTTTGCTTCGAGGCCTCGTAGAGGTCGCTTTCCATTTTCACGACCGTTGCTGGTATGTAGGAGGCTAGGTAGTACTGTGGACAATTGGGGATTTTAATTACACTTATTAAAACAAGGGGTCTCGGGTTCGATTCCCGGGTCGGGCAAAGTATTACTGGGTTTTTAAAAATCTCAGTAGTAGCACGGAGTCTGGAAAAATGTGCCCGGTATATGGCAATAGGATCACCCCCTATTACATGGGACTCATAACATAAATAGTGAAAAGTGGGTGTTAAATTGTACAGTGGCATTAAGTGCCGAAATGTGCACCTCTGCCTACTATAAAAAGGCGTGATGTTATGTTATGTTATCTATATTACAGCGGCTCTCTCTACATTCTGCGATAAGTGTCAGCCATGCTTCGGCACGAATGGGCCGGCTCGACCGGAGTGACACCACGGCCTCACAGGAAACCGACGTGAAGCAACGCTTGCGTTGTGTTTCATCGTGTGAGTGAGGTTACCGGAGGCCCAATTATCCCCTCCCCTTCCCCAATTCAATCCTTCCTAATCACCAAAAGGTCGGTAACGCAATTGTAACGCCTCCAGGTGTCTATAGGCGACGCCGATTGCTTACCATCAGGTGATAAATTACAATGGCGTGGACGAACTCTGAGGTTCTACATTTTATTGAAATGTACAAAAAGGACATTTTACAATACACTATATTGGCCCAATACGTTGGCCTAATGTGTAGAGCTGCCTTTATGTCTAGTTAGACAGTGTCTAGTTAGACAGTGTCTAGTTAGACAGTGTCTAGTTAGACAGTGTCTAGTTACGACAGTTGCCGTACTCAGATTAAATTATTTTAACTAAAATACAACTTAACACAATCAATATAACTTAATGTTTGGAAATTCTGTGATAAAGTCGACAATATTGCTGTCTAGTGTTGTGAATTACATCAACATGAAATACCTATCTTTAATTATTTAACACCATTGTTTTAAGTTTTCATAGAAATAACAATGACTGCCTCGTTGGCCGAGTGGTCGCAAGTGCGACTGCCGGGCAAGGGGTTTCGGGTTCGATTCCCGGGTCGAGCAAAGTACTGCTGGGTTTTTAAAAAAAATCTCAGTAGTAGAACTTCACTGCAATTGTGCCCGGTATATGGCAATAGGCTCACCCCCTATTACATGGGACTCATAACATAAATAGTGAAAAGTGGGTGTTACTTCTGTGTGCACCTCTGTCTACCCCTTCGGGGATAAAAGGCGTGATGTTATGTATGTAGAAATAACAATCTAGAACGTACCTGTATCGCCATAGCGAAGAGTAAGGTCCCTCCGAGTGAGAGTGTGGTCCTCCGATACGTACTCGAGAATAATTGGAAGAATGACTGCCAGAACTAGAATGGGGAGATAAACACAGGTGAATACTTTGTAACATCTTACTTAATACTATAGATGCGAGTTTGTATGTGTGTTGGTGACTCAATGACGTCAGAACTATCGAAGGGATCGGTATGTTTGGAACAGAGTGCCAAGCACGAATAACTATCACATTCGTATAGTAATAGTATCGCGCGTTCGGCGCTCTGATTGGCCGGCTCATGTGAATCAACCAATCAGAACGCTTAACGCGCTCGATACTGTTACGATTCAGAGCTACGTTATGGTCCAGGATGTCGCGAAGAACCTAACGGGTAACCGGGGCTCCAGCTCGACGTGCAGGAGAAGGAACGGGGTGGTTTTTAGTCAGTAAGAGTCTGACACTCCCTTCCGCCTCACCCAGGCGGGAGCAGTCATTCGATGATTTTCCCCCCTTAAAAAAAAAAATGGTCCGGGATAACACATAGGGTACTTCTTATTGCACGGGAACGGAACCGAAATGGTTGGCAGAAGCCAGAAGTAAGTTGTGAAGTCTTCGAACCGGTCCATCTAGACGTCACTGATTCATTTCGTTGCGGGAACCGAGGCAGTTATTCATGTCTCGACGCGCCGGACTTCAGTGTTGCGGTGTTATTATTTTATACTTGATATGTCTCGCCTGGTGGAAAGCGATGATGTGGCAGACGATGGAGCACGCCTACCTATGAGCAACCTGTTCACTCGGGATTTGAAGACACCCAAGTTATATATGTCGGGAAACACAGATTCCGGCAAGGAGTTAGAAGGAGTGTTTTCATGGTTATATCTACTGTAGATCTTGGTTTTGGGAGGCTGTGGGGGTCAATAAAGTAAGTAGGGTTATATTCCCCTGTGGATGTATATGCAGATGATTCGACTAGGCTCACCATCTTGACGCTATGCCGGACGTGATGCAGCGCGGGCGGCCTGCGCTTGGCCGGCAGCGCGAGTTCCCCGAGGCGGTACTCGGCGGCCGGCCGGAACTTGTTGCTACTGTGGATACTCTGCCACGGGGAAACAACATAGTATTACTTCAAGCTGAAACTATAATAACTGCCACAAATACTTAACTCGTCGAGTACCGTATTTATAGACACAAAGAACAATAGGTTGCGGTCACCGGTGACCGCTTGGTGTTTGACAGTTTAAGTAATATTTAATTTACCTATGGAGTTTCTTGCTCGTTCTTCTCCAGAGGAATCTACACCTTGGAATGAGCAAATAGCTTCAATTTTAATGTTTTGTTGACGATCAAAACTGCGTTTTTGGTCTAATGGAAATAAATAAATTCAATGTAACTACCACTTTTCACTATTTTTGTTATGAGTCCCATGTAATAGGGGTGAGTGCATTGCCATATACCGGGCACAATTCCAGATTCCATGCTACTACTGAGATTATTTTTAAAAACCCAGTAATACTTTGCCCGGCCCGGCCATCGAACCCGAGATTCGTTGCCCGGCAGTCGTACTTGCAACCACTTGGCCAATGAGGCAGTCAATTGTCAATACATTGCAAGTTAAATATACAGTTTATAAACCACATTAAATAAACAATAGTCACCTGGTACACCATCATGGCGTCGACCTCTCTCCCGACATCAAGTAGATACCGCGGAGACTCCTGCGTCCAGATCAGGCTCACTAGTGAAGCCAGGATTGGGATCGTGCAGAGGAGGAGGTATCTGGACGGACATACATTTTGTAATTATGATAAGGTTGAAAATTGATTAAAGCTCAATTATTTTTTATACTCTGTTGTCTAATGATAAGTTTTAAAATCCTACGATGGAGCACGTCGACCCATAAGTCGTCGACCCACATCTACAGACATAGATCTACATCTAGAGACATAGATCTACATTTACAGACATAAATCTATGTCTACCGACATACACCTACATCTACAGACATAGATCCACATCTACAGACATAGATCCACATCTACAGACATAGATCAACGTCTACAGACATAGATCTACATCTACAGACATAGAACCACATCTACAGACATAGATCTACATCTACAGACATAGATCCACATCTACAGACATAGACCCACATCTACAGACATAGATCCACATCTACAGACATAGATCTACATCTACAGACTTAGATCTACATCTACAGACATAGATCTACATCTACAGACATAGATCCACATCTACTCTACAGACATAGATCTACATCTACTCTACAGACATAGATCTACATCTACAGACATAGATCCACATCTTCAGACATAGATCTACATCTACAGACATAGATCTACATCTACAGACATAGATCAACGTCTACAGACATAGATCTACATCTACAGACAGATCTACATCTACAGACATAGATCCACATCTACAGACATAGATCCACATCTACAGACATAGATCTACACTTACAGACAGATATCAACGTCTACAGACATAGATCAACGTCTACAGACATAGATCTACATCTACAGACATAGATCTACATCTACAGTGATAGATCCACATCTACAGACATAGATATATATCTACAGACATAGATCTACGTCTACATCTATGTCTATGACCAGCACCCTGCACGCATTGTTATATTGTACACGGAGAGCTGGTGGCCCGCCAGTTTAGCTGACCTACAGGTTGCATGTATCGTCTTTTAATGGACTATTTAACACGAAAGGAACTATTCAATCGTTTTCGGAGATTGGCGCGTTCTAACTAATAACGAAACTCTTCAAGTTTATATAATGGAAATAATGTAAGATTGCTTATAATGTGTAATCGTATATAGTAAGTAGAATGTATCAGTATGTAGATTGCAGTACAGACCGATGCCACGCACTGAAGTGCTCCTTGTTCTCGATGAGCGTGTGCGCGCCGGTCTGCGGCAGCACGGCGGCGGCGAGCGCGGCGGCGGCCGCCCCGCCCGCGCCCGCCGCCGCCGCCAGCGCGCCCAGCGCCGCGCCGCGCCGCGCGCGCCACCACAGCTCGCCGCAGTACGTGTACGACGTCGGCACTATGCCGCCGGACCCCAGCGATGAACAGAATCTGTAATAGTGTGATACATTCTGTCAAAAAAGTATCGGGAATGGATGATTTGTTTATGATTCCAAATAATGGAATTTCGTGTTCGGAGTCACTGAATATTACAGGGCTTATGGTGAATCGACTTTATCAAAAACTCGTGCTTATGAGTGGTTCAAAGCGTTAAAAAGCGGTCGAGATGTGATGGAAGATTTGCCTCGCTCTGGTAGGCCGTCAACGTCTGCAACTTAAGTTAACATCTCAAAAGTGAAGGAAATAGTGACTGAATATCCCCATTCAACTCTGAGAGAGATAGCCGCCGAACTTTCTGTACCTCACGAGTCGATCCGTACCATTTTAACTAATCATTTGGGTATGAAACATGTTGCTGCTCGGAGTGCTCGGCTAGTCCCAAAAGGACTGAGTTTTCTCCAAAAACTCAATCGCATGAAAGTCGCTGAGGACATGCTGCATGAATCAGTGAGCTTACTCTTGAATCCAATTCCGATGGATCGACATTGGTATTGTGAAATTTCGTACTCTTGAGTTGCAATACTAGCGCCTATTGTATCCGTATTGCGTGGATATTTCATGAACTATATGGTATTGAGTTTAACTTTATATTCCGTACTCTGAATGCTACTTTAGCAGCTACGATTGGGGTTGTATAGTTTAGACATTGAATAATTATTGAGATTTTATTGGATTGAAATTGCATTGACATTGAGAATGGGTTCAAGAGTAAGCACCCTGTTCGGACCCAACATTCATGAAACGCATTGTTACTGGTGACGAAACGTAGGTTTACGAGTTTGACATGCAAACTAGTCAACAAGCTTCGAAGTGGCGCCTTCCAACTGAATCGAAACCGAAAAAACCACGTCAAAGTCGATCAAAAGTCAAAGTCATGTTGACTGTTTTCTTTGACTATCGCGATGTTGTGCAATCTGAATTCTTACCGGAAGGTTTAACGGTAAATAAAGAATATTATTTAAGCGTTAGGCGGTGTTTAAGAGAGCAAATTCGACGAAGAAGGCCAGATTTGTGGAAAGAAAATTCTTGAATTTTGCACCACGACAATGGGTCTTCATACAAGGCTATCATTGTGAACGAATTTTTGACCAAACGACCAACAAATAGCACCCAGCAACCACCATATTCACCAGATATGGCTCCTGCTGACTTTTTTCTTTTTCCTAAACTCAAATTACCACTTCGTGACACCCGTTTTCAATCGATAGAAGACATAAAGGAGAATTCGCGGCGAGAACTGAACTCAATTCCGGAAGCAGCGTTTAAAAAATGTTTTGATGAATGGATTATTCGTTGGTGCAAGTGTATCGTTTCTAAAGGAGCATACTTTGGATGTGATAAAATAAATTTGGATGAATAACAGACATTTTGTGTATTATTTATCGTTTCCCGGTACTTTTTTGACAGATTAGTATTATGATTTTTGCGGGCCGTAGATGGCGCTGGCGTTATTCATTTTTTTAAACGTTGCCCCATACTATGATTCTCTCCCGTGTCGTGGGTGCGTTTACAAACATACCATATCACATACACATAACACCCAGACCCGAAACAACAATTTGTGGATCACATAGAGTTGCTTCGTGCGGGAATAGAAACCGTTACAAGTTGCGTGACAGCCGGTTGCCCAGCCACAGCACCAACCGTGCAGTCAATTCAAGTCAAAAGTTTAAAGTCGTGTATTTAATCCAGTTACTAAGTAAGTATATGTTTGCTATTTGTTCAGATAGGGGAAATAGAATCTGATTGCAATAGAACTTTCAATGATCAGACAAGCAATGGAACTTTTTGTGAAAATGGCCTTAGCCTCTCGCGTGTTTCTCGTACACACGGGTAAACGCGCGTTCTCGTACACACAATAAGTTAAGGATAATTACTGGAGGCTCAACTACTCCACCCCCTTCCCCAATCTCGGAATCCCCAACATTCCTCAAAAGACCAAAGGTAACCATGGGCGACGCCGATTTCTTACCATCAGGTTATCCGTCTGCTAAACACAAAACTCCATAATACCTTATTGTCGGTTTTTATTGTTTGGTTTATTTTTTTATTACTTTATTACTTAACTAGCTTTTACCCGCGGCTTCGCTCGCGTCACAAAAGAATAAAAAGTAGCCTATGTGACATATACCAATACACACAGCGCCATCTATACCAATACTTTTGTTTTTCCTCGGGAATATCAAGATTTTCCGGGTTAAAAAGTACCCTATTATTTAATCCGGACTTCTAACTTTACGTCTGCAAAAATTCAAAGCAATCGGTTGAGTAGTTACGGCGTGAAGGTGGAACAAACAAACAAACAAACAAACTCATTTCAGATTTATAATATTAGTAAGGATAGTAAGGATATTTAACTGTATTTGATCTCATTGTTGTTCGTAATTTTAGTTATATGTAGATAAATATTGTGTGTGCTCATAACATAAAAAATAAGCTTTATATTACGGAAACAATACAATAAAAGCTTACCTGGCCATCATAAAGGTCCCATAAGTGGGCATGAAAGCGGCTATGGCAGCGAAGACTGCGTTTACAGCTAGACATGAGACTAGACATCGTCTCCGTCCCAGCCTCTCAGATAGTGCGCCCCATCCAACCGCGCCTAGTGACCCGCCTACTAGGCTTATCATTACTGGAAGAAAACGTACATACATACATAACATCTCGCCTTTTATACCCTAAGGGGTAGAGGTGCACATTACGGCACTTAATGCCACTGTACAATGTAACACCCACTTTTCACTATTTATGTTGAGTTTTACGTAATAGGGGGTGAGTGTATTGCCATATACCGGGCACATTTCCAGACTCCGTGCTACCACTGATGTTTTTACAAGCCCAGTAATACTTTGCCCGACCCGGGAATCGAACCCTGGACCCCTTGCCTGGCAGCGCACTTGCGACCACTCGGCCAAATAGGCAGAAAGGCATGTACGGAAGAAAAATTATAGAATAAAATTCAGAGCTGTGGAGGCTGTCAAACAATTAATTAAATTAATAGTAGCCTTAACCCCTCGAGCGTCCTTATGAGCACCCGGTGGATCATAAGAAAAAATGCTCCATGCTGCTTTCTCTTTTATAAAATAAAAATCTATTATTAATGTTTTGTTTTTATTTTGACTGTATTTGTTTTATGTCTATTGTAATGATTCTTGTTTTCGTGTGCCAATGGCCAAATAAATGGATTTTGCTTTCTTTCTCCAAATGTCACCCGTTGGATCATAAGGAACGCGGACGCTCGACGGGTTAAGAAAAACTTAAAACAGTTTCACTGACGGACACACTAACAGACTACTATTCTTTATTAGTTGATATTTCAAAGGTTTTAGTTACATGAAATAAATGCTTTCACTTTAATTTTTAAACTATTGGAGCTTTTCTCCTTTAAAATAAATCAGTTTATCTATCAGTGTAGATCGTATGAAAACTTGTTTAGCAGATTTTTAGTAGTTTGTGCACAAAAAGAATGTTGACGTTTCAAAAGTACCAAATTATGGTTTAATTGAAATAAATGCTTTTGAGTTTGAGAGTTTGAAATATAAAAACTACATAGTACGTACTTAGCCAGTTCTTCTCGTGCGGTAGTATGCACAGTTCGATTTCCGCGGAGGGCAGTATGAAGGGGATGGCAGAGAGCTCTAGCGAGGCGCCCGCTATCGCCAGAAACACCGCTAGTGTTACTCTCGCCTGCGCAAGGCCGGACCCCGCCTGTAAAACAATATTATACAAATTTTACAACATAACATAACATCACGCCTTTTATCCCCGAAGGGGAAGGCAGAGGTGCACATTATGCCACTGTACAATGTAACACCCACTTTTCACTATTTATGTTATGAGTCCCATGTAATAGGGGGTGAGCCTATTGCCATATACCGGGCACAATTCCAGACTCCGTGCTACTACTGAGAATTTATAAAAACCCAGTAGTACTTTGCCCGACCCGGGAATCGAACCCGAGACCCCTTGCCCGGCAGTCGCACTTGCGACCACTCGGCCAACGAAGCAGTCAATAAATTGCTTAGTGTATAGAATTCATTTTTCACCATCTCTACTCCTTTCATGGGGGTCGTAAGAATCAACTAAGATAGGTCTCTTACCTGGTGGTAGGCCCTTATAAACCAGGATAAGCCTGAACCTTTAGAATGTTCAACCCTCCTACCACAAGCTTTTTTACGCGCTTCATGAGTCAGATTATCGAACTGGTCCTGTTAATCCCCCCCCCCCATTCCCAATCCCTAAATCCTTACAAGACCATCCGCACTTGTTACTTCTCCGACGTTGCGGGGGTATGTGGTCAGCGCCGATTGCTTACCATCATGTGATCTGTCTGCTCGTTTGCCGGCCTATACCAACGACCAGGGTGTTTACTCTTGAAACCAATCTCAATGTCAATGCAATTTCAATCTAATAAAATCTCAATAATTATTCAATGTCAACACTACATATACAACCACAATCGTAGCTGTTGAAATGGCATTCAGAGAACGGAATATAAAGCCAAACTCAATACCATCTAGTTCATTCAATATCCACGCAATACAAATGCAATGGGCGCTAGTGTTGCAACTCAAGAGTACAAAATTTCACAATACCAATGTCGATCAATCGGAATTGGATTCAAGAGTAAGCCCCCTGGTACGCATTAGAAAGATATCAAGTAGTCGAAGAGCTGACCTGTCGCAGAGCATCCTCGTGGAACTGTTCGAGGACACTGGAGTCGTTGTAGTCGAGGAGCTCTCCGCTCTCGTTGACGTCGGTGGCGTGGTCGGGCGGGCTGGCGGCCATGTGGCTCGTGTTGCCTGGCTCACCACCACCGCTCTCTGTGCCTGGAACACAAACGTACATACAAATATACTTAAATTAATGTTGCACTGTCTTGTGATGGGGTGGCACCGCTGATTGGCCTCTCGCACGGAACAACTCCTTATGTGATCCACAGATTGCTCTTCAGTTTCATGTGTAAAATTATGCGTTTGTAAGCGCATTCACTACACAGGAGAAAATTCTAGTGTCAGTTAACGGTCTTTTTTAGACAATAATATCTAATAAAAATGTTGCCCCACACTAGGATTTTCTCCTGTGTCGTGGGTGCGTTTACAAACATACAAGTTCACATACACATGACACCCATACCCGGAACAACAATCTGTGGATCACACAAAGAGTTGTTTCGTGCGGGAATCGAACCCGCGACACGTTGCCCAGCCAAAATCTGGGTGTCATTATGTATAATTATGTCAACTTGTATGTTTGTGAACGCACCCACGACATAGGAGAAAATCCTAGTGTGGGGTTTAAAAAAAAGCTGTTAAGTAATAACAGTATTATTCAGTCAGTATAATTAGATACTCACCGCTAAGTCTATCCTCAGTATAAGTCATAGTTCCGAAGCTGTGCTTGGACGAGCCTTCAGAATCTGACCGGGCGCGCACAAGGCACGCCTGTTCTTCCGACATCCTGCGCCGCGCGCGTCACCACCGCGCTACTCACAGCGAGAGGCATCTGCAAACGTGTGTGTTGTACAGGAAACGAGATTGTTGGAGAATGCTGAGGGAGGAAGTTCATGACTAAAAACCACCCCATTCCTACTCCTTTTTTTGAGGGGACGTGTCAGAATCTTGCTGACTAAAAACAACACCGTTCCTACTCATTTTCTTTTGAGGGATGTGTCACTCTTACTGACTAAAAACTACTCCTGCACTTCGAGCTGGAGCCCCGGCAGCCCGTTAAGTCTTACGTGGCTTCGTATCGGCATCAGCCCTACTGGGCCCCATCTATGGTGGTCTGATGGCTCTTTAAGGCGTGCGAGGAACACGACGGTGGCCGGAGATCGTACCCCGTACCTAAACCTGCTTCGAGCCGGAACCCTGATAACCCACTAGGTTATGGACCGGGAGTGAAACCGCTGGCTGAAGCTTGTGCGTGTAATTATGTGATATTGTGTTTGTGAACACAGTGCGACACAGATAACAGTCCTAGGTGTTTGTTCAAAGAATAAAAGAAAATAAAACCGGTGATATGAATACAATAGGGTTTTTTTTTTAAGGGGGAAAATCATCGAATGACTGCTCCCGCCTGGGTGAGGCGGAAGGGAGTGCCAGACTCTTACTGACTAAAAACCACCCCGTTCCTTCTCCTGCACGTCGAGCCGGAGCCCCGATTACCCGTTAGGTTCTCCGCGACAATACAATAGGGTAGATGCCTAATTTTTATTTTAATGCCCGTCTGGTAGATTATTTTAAATCATTGACACGTTTTTTTTTTTCTTACAGTAACGAATACTTTCGTCGATATTTTGATTTGAAATGTCGCGTGACGTCACTTCTATGTACATTTTATACGTAGAAATAACTTTTTAGTTCCCACTCCTAAACTTTGATTCGTTTTATCTAAGTATTGTTTTCTTATACGACGACAAAATAAAAAAATACGTGTGTAATATTTTTTCATTACCGAACTGACGGACTAATTAGATTTTGAATTTTCATACCCTGTCATCATCTCAATTTGAAACAAAATCTAATGATCACTTAAGTACGTCGAGTAAAAAGAGAGTGAATTAAAAATATAGCTTATTATGACCACCACCTTTTTTGGGAACTCTGTTAAAAAAAATAAGGTTTAAGTATAAAAAAATGTCGCTTAAGTGATTTTGTGCTTCATAAACATTTCTATTGACTACATTCCTATACAAAACAAGGATAAATAAAACAAGAATCATATGAATATTTTATCAGTCCATTGTGAAATGTATGTACGTATTGTGTAACTATATTTGTAATTAACATTGACTTGCAATAGGTACTTATTTATCTTTCTATTATTATTTCTAAATAATTACGTACTTTCCTGTTACCATATTGTTGAATTATCAATGTTTTTATTTGTATGTTAGTACAATGTGAACAATAGGCCACAGATTATATTGTTGTAGGTAAGTATTGTAATTATTTAACGTGTAATTGACTTTAGAAGTATGCCCTTTAATGGGCCGGCTCGACCGGAGTGACACCACGGCTTCATAGAAAACCGGCGTGAAACAACGCTTGCGTTACGTTTCGTCGTGTTAATGAGGTTACCGGAGGCCCAATTACCCCTTCTCCAATCGCCCCAATCTCTGAATCCTCAACAATCCTAGGTAACGCACTTGTAATGTTTCTGGTGTTCCACAGATAGGACCCAATAGGGCTGATGCCGATACGGAGCCGCGGAAGACTTAACGGGTTGCCGGGGCTCCGGCTCGAAGTGCAAGGAACGGGGAGGTTTTTAGTCAGTAAGAGTCTGACACTCCCTCTCGCCTCACCCAGGCGGGAGCAGTCATTGGATGACGATTAGTTACCATCAGGTCATAAAAAAAAAAAATGAAAAGTAATCACAACCCGTGGTGTAAGGAGCTGCTGGAGTGGGAGCCGTGGGAAAATGAACGACCTGTTGGTAGACCACAGATGAGATGGAATGATGACATCAGATGTGGTGGGACAAAATTGGATGCTAATAAGTAATAACCCATGATAGGACTAAGTAGAAATAATTGAAGGAGGCCTACGTCAAACTGGTTAAAAGTGGCTTGAGATGACTGCATCGTTGGCCAAATGGTCGCAAGAGCGGCTGCCGGGCAAGGGGTCTTGGGTTCGATTCATGGGCATGGGATAGCAAAGTATTACAGGTTTTTTTTTGAAATCTCCTTCAGAGAGTCTGAAATAGTACCCAGTATTTGGCAATAGGCTCACCCCTCACCTCAGAAAAGTGGGTGTTACATCGTATGGCATTAAGTGCCGTATAGTGCACCTCTGCATACCTCTTAGGGGATAAAAGGCGTGATGTTCGAATGTATATGTAATAATGTTTGGAACATGCGCGTTTTTATAGAATATGTTAAAGGTATAGCAACATAACTTGTATTCATAAATTCATTAGTTTCTATTGAATCTAAGATACATACAGCTGTACAAATTGTATTACATTTAATTATTTCGACATACAGTTTAGTTGTTCCCAGTTCATTCAAAAGTTATCTAAGACAGAATACTCTTAAATAAATAGTTATATCTCATTATGATTTATATCGCTACATAGTATAAAACAAAGTCAGTATCCGCCGTCTGTCTGTCCCTATGTATGCTTAGATCTTTAAAACTATGCAACGGATTTTGATGCGGTTTTTGTTAATAGATAGAGTGATTCTTAAGGAATGTTTATACCTATGTATAGTACATGTATATTGCACCCGTGCGAAGCCTAGGCGGGTTGCTAGTTAGATAATATTTTGCTTTCATGATTATGATGCCGTGCTCTAACCAGGTTTCATGTTGAACCTGTACCCAATTATGTAACACCTATTGAACACATGATATAATTTATTTGTTTTTATAGTTCCTTTATTTCTGGCGACTCTGGCCCATATAAAATATAATTCACGAATAGATAAAAATAATGCAATAAATATTTGAATTTGGATACAGTTTGTTTCCAACCAGCTTATCTGGAAGTCTTTGGGGGAAGCCTATATTCAGCAGTGGATGTTTTGTGGCTGATATGATGACACCCCTTAGCCAGCAGCTTTAGTATGTCAGCAGAACAGGGTAATTTAGATAAATAAATGCTTAAAAGCCCATGAGATCAAGATTGATAGATAGATAAGTTTAGTGCATAAATTTACATGAAATAAAATCATAGGAATATTTGTACATTTCCTACGATATATATAGTGATTTTTACTCTATTTATTCAGATGTAAAATCTCTAACAGCAAAACAAGAATTCACAACACAAAAAATCATAAAAATAAACATTCAAATAATTTGTGATTGTACTAAATAAACTGTTAGTATTTAACGATAAAAGAGGTTTTATTGTGTTAATAATGTGAACAATATAGCTTTTAATAGATAGTATTGTACACATCTGTGTCCTGAACAAAGACACCGTAGTTGGAGACGTTATAGTTACATACTTATCTGAATAACACAGGAAGAACAAATTAACACGAAATGACAACAACCAATGCTTAATTTACGGACAATAAACGCACACGATAACTTTAGATAAACCCTACTTTAATTATAAACATGCTCTATTTACTAAAACGCCGATAATTCGTAACTTTGTTACGAAAATGTCGTTGATGGTTCGTGTGTGGATATTTCAACCTTTTTTTTGTAAATCAAAGTTAAAACTTACGTTTCAAGAGCTCGTAATAACAAATATAGAAATCAATCAATCTTTTCGAGATGAAAACATTTCAATTCGATAGTTTCTTTGTATTTTAATATGAAAAATAAAAATATAAACACCCACGGACACTGCAAGGAACAAAACGATTATTTTTTAATGAATACGATTAAATGAAATCACTACAAGATAGACTCACAAGATTTTTCTGTCCTTGTCTTAATGTCGTAGAAGGTCTTCAAGATAAATGAGATAGAGAATAGATCTCGCCTAGTATTTTTATGTCAATGCAATTTTGTAGGCTTATTTTCGTGAATGAATGATTCCTAATGGTTGAATGAATCAATGAACTGATTTGAATCCGTACTAGTGATGTCTGTTTGACTGGGATACCGATTTAAATTAAACTTACAATAATAATTAACAAATTAACAACTAGGCATTGAAAAGAAAAGCTTGAGGAACAAAAAGAAACATAATAAAATGCAATTTTACTAAAGCTATTAATGTCACTGAAACATGCAAAGAACACTGCAAAACTTAATATTTAATCGCCGAGTAACCTTGACTTGGTAATTACTGTTCATGTGAAATAGGTACAGCAATCAAAGAAATATTCATGTCAAATAACATTCAAGGTTTCAGAATTCCTAAGTCTGCTAAGTCTAAAACATTTCAGTTATTAATTAATTTGTAAATTCTCCGAATCATTCAAACTAGGCTAAAAGGTTGATAAAAGTATGGGATAGTTTTATAGTAGAGACCTTGAATTAGAATATGCACGAACCCGTCATGTTATCGATTTGGTGCGTTGGTTAAATTGCTTTCATAATAAATCGACGATAAACACATAAAAATCGGAATATTTATAATATTTACATTCAAATTCATAGATATAGTTTGTTTAAGTACGCGGTTACTACGTTATGTTTATTATATTATATAAAGTACATAAAATTATAACATTTAAAGAATTACTTCAAAATTAAATGCAAACCAATCATAAAATGCGTTATCACTTACAATTTTGAAGCATTAAGCAATTTTGCGTCCTATTTTTCACTGTAAATGAACACTGAAAGCGGTGCCACACTGCTGTTTCTCTAATTGTATGAAATATATTATACAAATTACATTGTGTATATTTATGGCTGGTGTCGAGTGCAAAATTTGCAATAAATAATTGAACTATTTTAAAACCTGATGCACGGTTTAACACTCATTGTTTTTTTGTTAAATCAATTTTGTCACACTATCACGATGAAATAGAACACATTGTCCAGTTGGTTTTAATATTTTCCCTCAATTTCAGCGACACTGAATGCTTTAGTGACATGAGAACTGTGCCACACGTTGGGAAAAAGGAACCGAGAAGTATAATTTTATATCAACACAGAAACCAACTTGGATTCACATAATACTGTTAAATATTATTATTACATTAATAATGTACAGTAAAAACTGAATTTATAACGATTTAATATATTCAGATCGACTTATAAAATGTGTCTCATGGGACACAATGAAATCTGCAGGGTTTAAGGTCAGGAAAAGGATGGGAAGCCTATTTTAGGAAATGATAGAAAGAGAGGTATAATGAAGATCAAGGTAATATAAACGTAATAGCAATCTTAAGACACCTTTTCGCGAATTTAGTCATAAGTATTTATGTTTTCAAAGTTCAAGCAGAATTATTATTCAATATTTTAATGTTTAACGGTAATGATTAGTTTGTCAAACACTCTTCAATTCTTTTAAAAGAATATTCCTAAGTATTTAGTAAGGACATTTCAGACACAGTTTGTCATACATTGTTTTTTCTTTTTCAGTGTACTACATTGCTTAGGATTTTAACGAGAATAATACTGATATATTAAATTTACTCCAAATAAATTTATCTCGGGATACAGATCTCATGTGTCCCACATCATTTATCGATTGTTCACTTATGCGCGCAGGGAGGCGTTAAAGTCGCACATGCGCGGTAACTGCGGCAACTGCTGAAGGTCTGAGGGTGACATTTTATAGTCCGTTGAAGTTGAATATCCATTTCGATACAAACATGTTTTGTAGTCTGAACAAAAACTGTACTTCATTTTGTTCTGACTTGTTTAATGTAATAATTGTATCACTTTCATTCCCGTCCCAACAATGAATGAAATAACTCATTCTTCTTAATAATAAAAATTTACAACACTATCGTGAGCAAAAAGGAGTCCATTCAAATGTCACGTTCAAAGTTGCAACTGTCAAAGTCATTTTGACAGTGACATATGATTTTATTAATCAAAAAAGCGGCAAAGCTGGAAAGCCGGCTGTCTGTGTAAATATTTTGTTTTACAATTTTCATCAAAAATGTGCGGCTTATCAAGTGAAAATCCACTCGAAGTGCAAATAAAACTTATAAGAAAGTATTTAAAGTTGAAAATAATGGCGGATAACGTTTCATTCCGAGGTCATAGCCAGGAAAGAAATCATATTTATGATTTGTTTAAAAGGACTGTTTCTCACGGTGAATCTCATTCTGCTCTGATGCTTGGACCCCGAGGTTGTGGTAAAACTACTGTAAGTACATGAAATTGATGTTGTATAAAGATATACGCTATAATAATAGGAATTAAGTTCGTAACCACTTTGTAACCTTAAACATCAGTATTTCATTGTTTTGTTTAGTTATATTTTCAAAGTAAGTAAGAACATACATGTACATGTAAGTTTACATGTACATGTAGAATATACATGTAAGTTTATATAGGGATTTATTTTATGTAAGTCTATATACTATTCTTTTTTATGTATTTCTGTTTAGTTCTAAATACGCTTGCTTCTTGCATCGACCATTGTTTTTGTCTCTGCATCACCCAAAGGTCTGACTGGAGGAGAATGCCCTAGGCATTAAGCCCACCTTGTACATAAGTGTGTGCATGAAGTCTTTTAAAATAATAAAAAATAAAAAATTTTTGACTTCATTTTGACTGTAAAAAGATATTCGATGTACAGTTCCCACTTTCCTACGATTTTATTATATGTATAGAAGATATGATCTAACTCTGTTTTGCTAAAGTTCAATCCTTAACATAACATCACACCTTTTTATCCCCGAATGGGTAGGCAGAGGTGCACATTTCGGCACTTAATGCCACTGTACAATGTAACACCCACTTTTCACTATTTATGTTATGAGTCCCATGTAATAGGGGGTGAGGCTATTGCCATATACCGGGCACATTTCCAGACGCCGTGCTACTACTTTGCCCGACCCGGGAATCGAACCCGAGGCCCCTTGCCTGCCAGTCGCACTTGGGACCACTCGGCCAACGAGGCAGACTTCAATCACGAAATCAAAAACAAGTTCAATCCTGTACCCTAAAAATCCTATAATTTCCTAATATTATTTATATAATTTTTTTTCTTGTAATATTAGTAGGAATAAGAATGGAAATAAAAAATCTATAATACTAATTTTAATTGTAATATATAAATAAATACTTAATATTGTTTGTTGCAGCTCATAAACTCAGTTCTACATCAGATCAGCAAGGAGGTAGATTTATCAAATGACGCTATCATAGTCAAGCTGAACGGACTCATACACCATGATGAAAAGATTGCATTGAAATCCATTACTGCTCAGGTATTAATTCTTTGTAATAATTATGTTATATGTATATCTTTATATATATAATTCTGGTGTGCGTGTGTATGTCATTGAACTCCTCCTAAACGGCTTGACCCATTTCAATGAATTTTTCTGTACGCGTTTGAGTGGCGCCCTGGATGGTTTAGATTCACACTGCAGTTGATGTCTAGGGTATTTAAAACTTAATATCTTGAAATATCTTAATAATATGCAGGACAACATCCGGACCCGACAGATGTTGTCCTGCATATTTATATATATATATATATATATATATTAATAATTGATGGGCTGATGTTTGTCCTGTATCTCGAGTAGTGGTAAGCAATGATGCAGTCTACGATGGAGCATGTCTGCCCATAAGCAATCTATTCACTCGGGCCTTGAAGACACCCAGGTTATACCCTTCAGGAGATGCAGACTCTGGCAAAGAATTCCACTCCTTAGCAGTACGCACATGGAAGCTAATTTGGGTGCTAATTTCTGCCAGCAACTTTGTACATTACCAATAGGTTATTCTCAAATTTCTCTTATCTCTTAATATAAAGAAATCTTCCATTGTTTCCTTATACTCCCCATGGAACACACAAACCAAGTTTCAGCTTCCTACATAGTGCAGCTGTGTATTTGTTTGTTCGTCCCTCAGTATCTAAACAATTACTTCCGACGGTTAAAAGGCTCATTGAACTAAGCGGTCTTTTTACGCTATTAAGTTATACATATACATAATTCGATTCGATGGAGAAAAATTAGCTAACTCCGAATAGATTTTTTTTATTTTTAATAACGTTGCTCCACACTAGTATTATCTCCTGTGTCGTGGGTGCGTTTACAAACATACAAGTTCACATACGCAATGACACCCAGACCCGAAACAACAATTTGTGGATCACACAAAGTGTTGTTTCGTGCGGGAATCGAACCAGCGATACGTTGCACGGCAGCCGGTTGCCCAGCCACCGCGACAACCGTGCAGTCATAACATAGTAGTTATAACATAACATCACGCCTTTTATCACCAAAGGGGTAGGCAGAGGTGCACGTTGCAGCACTTAATGTATAATAATATTATTAGAAAACTTAAAAACTGTCATAGAGTTCACCTTGCTCTTTGATATTAGTAACTTATTTGTTTTATACCACATTGGATTTTAGAAACTCAGGAGACAGGAGAAATAAAGAGTACCACCATTACAATTCACCTTATATTGTTAACATCGAAATCCAATTACAAATTCAGAACTAGCTAAACCATAACTATTAATTGGAAAGAAAAACAACAACAATAACACATGAATAGGCAAATTGACTTTCAAATAGAATAAAATTCCCTCAACACCAAATACACCGTCTCAATAATTTCCGAGTTCCCGCCATCTTGACTTTTTCATTGTTCGAACCACAGATTATATTTTCCCGCTACGCGATGACATTTCGTTCCTTTTTGTCTGTGCTTCTAACACGGCCTCTCCTGACTGGAGCACGTCCTCGTGCTCCTGTGTCGCACTGTCGCATATTTACAGCACACGCTCCGTAGCAGGGACATCACCGCGGTTTCTGGCAGCTTGTTCAGCTGTGAACTCTACACTGTTTGCATCTGAGAACATAAGAATTGGATCGGGACGACGGTGGTTACCGGCGGTCACATCGATCCATATTAAATCGTTAGCGCAGGTCACAAAAAATAGCCAGAGAGGAGGCACAACATTAGCTATCCCGGTTAATGTGGACCACATGATAGGCATCATATTACCGTATCACATGATCCATGGAAACAACATAATCATCACTTGAGAACATAAGGATTGGGTCGGGACACCGGTTTTTTCCGAAGACACATCGACCCATATTAAATCGTTAATCTTATCAATTACCAAAAACGTGACGTGTGAGTTCAATACCTTCTGCACCTGAAATTATAAAAATTGCATCGGGATGTCGTTGGTTACCGACACAAACAACTACATGTACACATTGATCCATAATAATTCAAAATACAGGCAGAGAGGAAGCACTACGTTAGCTATCTCTACTATAACAACTACATGACAGGCACAACGTTAGCCATATCATAAGTCACCAACACAGTAAAGTAATCAATAGTGAACTAGAGGCACGACGTTAGCGTAGCTCACAATCATAAAACATACTCAGAGAGGAAGCACTACGTTAGCTATCTCTGCTATAACGACTACACGACATAGGCACGGCGTTAGCATAGTTCACAATCATAAAACATACTCAGAGAGGAAGCACTACGTTAGCTATCTCTGCTATAACGACTACATGACATAGGCACGACGTTAGTGTATCATGAGTCACGAACACAGGAAAAAACACAATCAATAGTGAACCATAGGCACGACGTTAGCATAGTTCATGATCATAAAACATACTCAGAGAGGAAGCACTACGTTAGCTATCTCTGCTATAACGACTACATGACATAGGCACGACGTTAGCGTATCATGAGTCACGAACACAGGAAAAAAAAAACACAATCAATAGTGAACCATAGGCACGACGTTAGCATAGTTCACAATCATAAAACATACTCAGAGAGGAAGCACTACATTAGCTATCTCTGCTATAACGACTACACGACATAGGCACGGCGTTGGCATATCATGAGTCTCTAACACATGTGTAATAATTAATACCTACGTTAGCATATTATTCACACGCACATTATACACACAATACACATCAGATATCACACAATGTTAGCGTACCATATTGTGTGGGAAGGACACATTTCTACAGTCCGAAGCTATCCACATAGCACTAGAAACTCCGCCACAGTCTGTGTCGCGTTTCCACACGAGTATACCATCTATTAGCAGTCGTAACACTTAGCGCTGTAGCCTTCATCACACTACACACCACACCACACTCGATCTTGTCAGACGTTCTGTACCCGCTCGGACACACCTGACTATGACTTTTAGTCCATCCTAAATATTCTTTTGATGGAATCCTGTAATCATACACATTGATAAGGCACATACATTATCACCGAATCAGCATGATTATTGATCATCGGTAAAACTTACTTCAATTTTTTTTTTATCACGCAATCAACATGGTTCACATGTGAAACAAGTGAATTTATTTCTGCAAATAGACTACAAGGCAGCACTTTTACACGTCAATTTTATCAAGCGAACGATGAGGTCGACATTTCCTAACTGACTACTCTGAGAAGAAATGCCGAAACAAACTCAGAGGTCTGTCTCTTTTAAAGTCCAGACAAATATGTATAAAAAGATTATGTGTGAGAACCGTGCAAGTTCTCTCTGTAGTGGCCTTTTGAGGAAAGAACCATAACAGTTTGAGCGGACCCGTTCTGAAAGCAGTACGCATGTGTCGGTTTACAGTCAGCTCAATTAACAGATGAGGCTGAGTGATTCGACGAACAATACCAACCTAAAGAACATTTGCGTGGGTCGCACAAATACTCAAACTGTCAGAGTATGAGTAAGAAATAAGAAAAGAAAAGTCTCGCACGGTCCTAGCACTAACAATTGTAAAAATAGAGGTAAATGTCAAGTTTAAAAAAATATAAATTTTTCAAATGAAAAACAATATCACTATGCTAATAATGTCAAATTGCATATAAAAAGAATGTAACTAAATGTGTCAATATGTAAAACGATGTCGTCAATATGTAAAACGATGCCTACAAGTAAACGTTACTTATCGCCAGTCAGCTAACACAAGTAACACTAGCGGTTCAATACGTGGACATCGTTGTTGCTGACAATAAGAAGAGTTTTCATAAAATCCAGCATGAAACCTCTCAAGTAATATATCAAGGTGACAAACTCGAAATAGTACACTGAAAGCTGGGTTGTGTACATATTTCAAATTGTAAGCAAAAAACGATAACAAATTAGGCATCATCTCTCTCTCAGCATACAATGATGTATCCTGACGCTCTACGGAGTCTAGTCACGTTTCTAGGAGGAACAACCGATCCATACAGCAGCTTGTTCACCGGTAGTAGAAAGCACTCTCGGCCTCTCAAGAGGTTACTCATGCGGTAGACAAACCAAATTAAGTCTGTACTTACAAATTTGCTAAACAAGTGCAGAACGGACAAACATATTATGGATTACAGTATAGTGAGGTGCATACTGGCAACCTACCTTCACTACAGTACAACAACCACATCAACACTCTATCAAGGGTAACGCTGCTAAGGAGAAACATACACATACTGCTGTCTTCCATTATAACAACAGTACTTCCCTGTATAACAACCTAAGATATGATTCAAGCAGTAACATGTAGCATTTTTCACAATTCTGCACAAGTTGTTAACTTGTGGTGAATGGTGCATATTAGAAGAGAAATATGTTTTTCATCAACATACAGCAGTTCTCCTGTTCTGATTTTAATCTTTATTCTTTGGATTACATTACTTTGATAAAAGATGTAAAATTTCAGCTGAATTCACAGCTAAACCTGAACACATCAAAAAATTTCAGCTCCATCGGCTAAAGATTTGTGATTCAAAATTCAGTTGCAAGAAGCCACTTCAAACGCAATACATACATTAAGTTAAGTAAAAGTTTGTTAATGTATTGACCTCTCTCAAGTGTAAACATAACAAATAATGCCTGATAACATAAGAATACAAACAATGTTAATATTAGTTAACTTGTTAGCAGTTAATGTATTTTGCTTGGTAACAAACGACACCAACAACTTATAGTTGAAACTTGGTTCAATTTTACTGCTGCTGTAATATGCTTATCATCGACCCATTAACTTTAACTGTAACTTTTAACAGTAATCGATAAGCATATTCAGCATTCATATGTTGGATATTGATCAGTATTCATACTCATGACTTCGTACAACGTATTCAAAAGCACAAACGTTTCACAAACTAATCCTTCACATTACTCTAAATACAACCAATGGTAACCCATGCATTGAGCCTTGGACTTAGCTTTTAAGCAGTTGCCGTTGTAAAACATTTACTCATTTTTATTTCAATAATTCAAACTTTATATTCTTAGTATCTTACTGCTTCATACCAGGTCTGCTGTCTATATTGTTGATCAAAAAAAATTAGCAGATAAAGAATACTAAATATAAAAGTAAGATTAGATCTCACCAGCCTGGTCATTGAATGTATTGCTTCTACAACACAGTGAGCCAAGCTTGCATAGCAGTCCAAGCGAAGTCAATTCACTTACTGCCACCAACCATCGACGCTCAGCTACTGCCGCAGTCATGAACTGTAGCTGTAGCGACGTCAGCACAAGCAGGCGCACCGGTGTTGAGCTCACGTTTCCTCACCAGCAATTGGCAGCATCACTCCTCCATGCAGTCAAACAAATCAAAATTTAGTGTTTCAGTTCACTTTACTTGACACAAGCCATGTTAGCAGAATCGCCTAGGATAATTAGCAGAATCACTTCAGTACCTACGTGACATTCATTGTCTCTCCTTACTGTTTGTAACAGTAAAGGACATAGGTAGGTATAACAAATTACAATGACAGAACTTGGGATTGTTAAAGATTTTAACTTAAAAGGAAATTAGTAGGAATAGTTTAAACATTGAGTTCACAATTTTATTTATTTGTAGCTTACACGTACAAATACACAAAAGCATTATAGCTTTTCAAACGGGAATTGGAACGTACTCACCGTAAGTTTCAGTCATAGTTATACGTTACCACAATTTGCCACAATACCTCGATCACAACGTACCTACTAAGTACATGAACACGAACTTACATAAAACAAATGAAAAACTTTGAATAGTCAATTTGCCGTATAATGTAAGTAGGTATTATCTACATAGAAAGTCAGAACGCATGGAAAATAATCGTATCCCACTTCTGATATTAGAAAACTTAAAAACTGTCATAGAGTTCACCTTGCTCTTTGATATTAGTAACTTATTTGTTTTATACCACATTGGATTTTAGAAACTCAGGAGACAGGAGAAATAAAGAGTACCACCATTACAATTCACCTTATATTGTTAACATCGAAATCCAATTACAAATTCAGAACTAGCTAAACCATAACTATTAATTGGAAAGAAAAACAACAACAATAACACATGAATAGGCAAATTGACTTTCAAATAGAATAAAATTCCCTCAACACCAAATACACCGTCTCAATAATTTCCGAGTTCCCGCCATCTTGACTTTTTCATTGTTCGAACCACAGATTATATTTTCCCGCTACGCGATGACATTTCGTTCCTTTTTGTCTGTGCTTCTAACAATATATTTAAAAAACTGTTGCGTAGATCAATTAGCCTTTCAACCGACGTATGATAATGGGTCAGTAAATAAGACCATTTTAGTTCTGTAAAGTGTTTACGTAGGTAGAAATAATCAGAGACTGCCTCGGGCAAGGGGTCTCGGGTTTGATTCCCGGGACAGGCAAAGTATTATTGGGTTTTAAAAAATCTTCCGTGGTAGCACGAAGTTTGGAATTGTGCCTGGTACATGGCAATAGGCTCACCCCCTATTCCATGAGACTCATATTATAAAATAGTGAAAAGTGGGTGTTATATTGTACAGTGTCATTAAGTGACGTAATGTGCACCTCTGCCTACCCGTTCGGGGATAAAAGGCGTGATGCTACGCTTTAAATATTCAGAGATAGAGTATAGTGATAGTAATTGTGCGTACTGCTAAAGAGTGGAATTCTTTGCCAGAGTCTGTATTTCCTGAAGGGTATAACCTGGGAGTCTTCAAGGCCCGAGTGAATAGGTTGCTTATGGGACGACGTACTCCATCGCAGACCGCATCATCGCTTACCATCAGGCGAGATAGTGGTCAAACGTCGCCTCATTAACATAAACAAAAAATAATTATTATGATTCCAGATGCAACTGGAAAACGCAGTAGGTGACCGAGTATTCGGTACATTTGCTGAGAACCTGGCGTTCTTGCTGAGCTGTCTACAAAGCGGTGCGGACCGGCGCTGCAAGAGCATGCTGTTCATATTGGAGGAGTTCGACATGTTCTGTCACAGCGGGCGCACTCAGACACTTCTGTATAATCTATTTGATATTACGCATAGTGAACAGGCTCCTATGTGTGTATTTGGTGAGTTTATAGTTACACTAGCTTTTACCCGCGGCTTCGTTCGAGTCACAAAAGGATAAAAAGTAGCCTATGTGACATATACCAATACATACAGCGCCATCTATACCAATACTTTTGTTTTCCCTCGGGAATATGAAATTTTTCCGGTAAAAAGTACCCTATTATTAAATCCAGACTACTAACTTTACGTCTGCAAAAATTCAATGCAATTGGTGTAGTAGTTACGGCGTGAAGTCGGAACAAACAAACAAACTCACTTTCCGATTTATAATATTAGTTAGGATAACATAACATAACATCACGCCTTTTATTCCCGAAGGGACAGAGGTGCACATTACGGTACTTAATGCCTCGTTTACCGAGTGGTCGCAAGTGCGACTGTCGGGCAAGAGGTCTCGGGCTCGAGTCCCGTGCCGGGCAAAGTATTACTGAGTTTTTAAAATTCTCAGTTGAAGCACGGAGTCTGGAAATGTGCCCGGTATATGGCAATAGGCTCACCCCCTATTACATGGGACTTATAACATAAATAGTGAAAAGTGGGTGTTACATTGTACAGTGGCATTAAGTGCTGAAATGTGCACCTCTGCCTACCCCTTCGAGGATAAAAAAGCGTAACGTTATGTTATGTGTTGTTGTTGCACAATTCCAGACTCCGTGCTGCTACTGAGAAATTGATTTTAAAAACGAATATGCGTTCGGCGCTCTGTGCCTTTAGCCAAACGCCACTTTAGCGCTTGTCAACAGAGAGAGTAGAAATCAAAATGTATGGGGATGACACTGATAAGTGTCAACATTTACGTCAATTCCATATAATTTGGTTTTCTATTCTACATGTAGACAAGCGCTAAATGGCATTTGGCTACAGCTGCTGATTAGCCAGCTCCAATGATCCAACGAGAGCTCCGAACGCGTACTCGTTTCGATTACTTTATACGTAAACTAAACTCGTATTAAGGCCTCAGATCCACCCCAGGAGGTCTACTCTGATTCGACGAAAAACGAAGTTTCGGACGAAAGTCTGAAGTGACTGCACGGTTGGTGCGGTGGCTGGGCAACCGGCTGCCGTGCAACGGGCAACACTTTGTGTGATCCACAAATTGTTGTTCCGGGTCTGGGTGTCATTGTGAATGTGAACTTGTATGTTTGTAAACGCACCCACGACACAGGAGATAATCCTAGTGTGGGGCAACGTTTAAAAAAAAATTCAAAGATTACCTACCACAATAAAGATAAAGATAAAGACATTTATTTGCGTAAAAACATGGTATACAAAGATGTTATTGTTACAATATAATAGATCATCATGTTTTGCTTATTAAATAAAGCATGCAAATTTTAAGTTAAAACTTATTTTAACTAACTTACACTCGTAGTTATAAGTTATACATTATGAACACAAACGTTATGAACACATTATGAACACATAATTTATACATTATCTATATATATATATAAGGTGCTCTATAATTTTTAGCCACGGCTTTAATGGGAGGTAGTGTTATTTTTACAGATTACAATTGTGAAGAAATTTCGTGCCCCGGACCAGTTAATTACATACAGTAATTAAGTAAACATTGACTACATTCTGCATAATGTGGTTCACAAATTACGCGCGATGCGTCGCTTAGTCAATGAAAACAATTGCTATCTCTTTCCACGTGTACTGAGAATGAAAACGGAAATCAGCTGACTAGTTCGTCACTATCTAATCTACTAGATACTCAATAGGCAGGCTAACAAGGGTTTTAAAAGTGCAATTACTTACCAGGTACGGCATTCTTCCGAAAAGCTGATGTAGGTAAATAAGATTATAAACTTCCCATCACACTTAAAACAGTTTTTTACACACTCTCTACCTACTTATCTACAAAACTTGCACAAGTCCACCTTCGCGTTGCACACAAATGAAGGCACGCTTCCAAACATGTCATATCACATTATTTAACGTGTCCGTTTCACTTTTACTTTGTTTCGCGTTTGACTCCACAAGTTATTGTCTCTATCATCGTAAACTCCGGCGGTATCCCTTGTGCACGCAAGAAGATGACACCGAAAGAACTCTAACACTTCCTCTTCGAGTTCTGATTTGAATTTCGTCGCCTGGGAGTCATTTTTACGTAGCGCGCGCGTATCTCCGACATTAAAACTAACGTGCGGGCAGGCAGGGGTTGACGGGGCTACTGGCGGCCGGGCGGCGCGTGCGACGAGTTCTGCTGGGGTGTGTTGTCTCGTTCTTGAACGCCCCGTCATACGCTGTTGCCATCCTTATCAGACCGCTCGCGCCGGGCGGCTACGAGCACGCTGCACACCCCCGCGCGCCCGCACCCTCTCCTGCACTCGTCGCACGCGCTGGTCAACCGGCGGGGGTTGAGCTACTGATAAGGATGGCAACAGCGTATGACGGGGCGTTCAAGAACGAGACAGCACACCCCAGCCAGCAGAACTCGTCGCACGCGCCGCCCGGCCGCCAGTAGCCCAGTCAACCCCTGCCTGCGCGGACGTTGTTAGTTTCAATGTCGGGGATACGCGCGCGCTACGTAAAAATGACTCCCAGGCGACGAAATTCTAATCAGAACTCGAAGAGGAAGTGTTAGAGTTCTTTCGGTGTCATCCTCTTGCGAGCACAAGGGATACTGCCGGAGTTTACGATGATAGAGACAATAACTTGTGGCGTCTTTTAACTCGTCGAGTACCGGTTTTATAGACACAATTAAAGAACAATAGGTCGCGGTCACCGGTGACCGCTTGGTGTTTGACAGTTTAAATCAAACGCGAAACATAGTGAAAGTGAAACGAACGCATTAAATAATGTGATATGACATGTTTGGAAGCGTGCCTTTATTTGTGTGCAACGCGAAGGTGAACTTGTGCAACAGTTTTGTAGATAAGTAGGTAGAGAGTGTGTAAAAAACTGTTTTAAGTGTGATGGGAAGTTTATAATCTTATTTACCTACATCAGCTTTTCGGAAGAATGCCGTACCTGGTAAGTAATTGCACTTTTAAAACCCTTGTTAGCCTGCCTATTGAGTATCTAGTAGATTAGATAGTGACGAACTAGTCAGCTGATTTCCGTTTTCATTCTCAGTACACGTGGAAAGAGATAGCAATTGTTTTCATTGACTAAGCGACGCATCGCGCGTAATTTGTGAACCACATTATGCAGAATGTAGTCAATGTTTACTTAATTACTGTATGTAATTAACTGGTCCGGGGCACGAAATTTCTTCACAATTGTAATCTGTAAACATAACACTACCTCCCATTAAAGCCGTGGCTAAAAATTATAGAGCACCTTATATATAAGAAAGTCGTGTTAGTTACACCACTTATAACTCAAGAACGACTTAATCGATTTGGATGAAAATTGGCAGAGAGGTAGCTTAGAACCAGGAAACGGACATAGGATACTTTTTTTTTACTTTTATGAAAATTACGAACGGGAACGGGGGAAAATGGGATTGCGCGTACGAAGTCGCGGGCAGGAGCTAGTGACATATAAACGAACGAAAAAGGAATGAAACAAGCCACGAATTAGTATGAGATGTACTGTTTGACGTCGATATTTTCGGAACCCTACTCTAATTGTACAATCCGCACGAACGAAAATTCAAACGAAACTTCGCATTCGAGAACCGGAGTAGACCTCCTGGTCTCTATCATGTGTATGTGTGAATAAGGGTGGTAATAAATGTATTCCACTTGGCCATCAGCACACGTCCAAAACCCGACCTAATTATATGTTCCAGGTGTAACAAACCGGCTAGACGTAATGGAGTTACTGGAGAAGAGAGTCAAGTCCCGCTTTTCCCACCGACATCTCTTCATATTCCCCAACGAGCACGACTCACAGAGGGCGCCACAGTACAAGTATAGAGATGTGCTAGTACAGCTACTGAGTCTGCCTGTACAGAAGACGGTTAAGAAGAAAGCTAGGAGTCGTAGGAATACTGGTAAGCTCTATCTATACATCTATACATACATATAATGAAATCGTAGAAAAGTCAAAACTGTATAATGAATATTAAAAAGAAATACTTGAGGCGTCATCTACAATCGATACCGAAGCCAAAAATATGGTTTTTAGATTTTTTGTCTGTTTCTCTGTATGTATGTCCGGGATGATCTCCAAAAGTACTGCATGGATTTACTTCAAATTTTGCATGAATATTACTAAGAGGTCGGGTCAATATATAGGCTACATATTATCACGCTATCATCTACGGGGCTAGCGACTACAGTGATTCTTAAGGAAGGTTTGTATGTATAATACATGCATATTGCACCCGTCCGAAGCCGGGGTGGGGCGCTAGTTTTTTAATATTTTATTGTTTAATACAGTCGAAATAAGTAATTTTTGGTTAACCATAGTACCCAATTGAATTGTAGAAACAGTTTCTTTTTGTCAGCGTTTCGGGAGCGTTTCCTTTATAATAAATGCAAGTATAAGATAGAAAAATGTCGTGGTGGCCCGGAGGTTTAAGACGCCCCCTTCTCATGCATGAGGGTGCTAGTTCACCTACCAACGGCAAGTACCCATGTGACTTTTTCCGAGTTATATGTACTTTCTAAGATCTAGACACCACTGACAAACGGTGAAGGAAAACATCGTGAGGAAACCTGGACTTATAATTTCTAATTATAAGTTTGAAATCACCAACCCGCATTGAGCAAGCGTGGTGATTAACGCTCTAACCTTCTCCTTGTGAGACGAGGCTTTGCTCAGCAGTGGGAACTTATAGGCTGTTGATGATGATAAGATAGATAAGATTTTTTCAGTTTCAGAAGAATTAGAAACGGACACAGTTCTGGAAAACTCTCTGCCTCCACACATCCTGGCCCGCTATCCAGACTTTGAGCATCTGAATCCAGATTTCATTCTGGATTGGAACCAGCACATTGAAGGCATGGCCGAGGATTACAAAGTGATTGATACTCTAGAGAAATTATGCTATTACAGTGTCAATGAACAGATATTTAGAAATATTTTGGTAAGTAAGTAATATTGTTATTAAAAAATGTGTTTCAAAAAACCGAATTCAAAAACGAAAAGTAAAAACAAAAAGCAAAAATAACTATTACTGATCATACGTATTATAGCTTACTAGCTTTTACCCACGGCTTCGCTCGCGTCACAAAAGTATAAAAAGTAGCCTATGTGACATATACCAATACACACAGCGCCATCTATACCAATACTTTTGTTTTCTCTCGGGAATATCAAATTTTTCCGGGTTACAAAGTATCCTATTATTTAATCCGGACTTCTAACTTTACGTCTGCAAAAATTCAAAGCAATCGGTTTAGTAGTTACGGCGTGAAAGCGGAACAAACAAACCAACTCACTTTCCGATTTATAATATTAGTAAAGATTAGTAAAGATACACACACTGGTAAGTTAGGAGTCGGTGCCACAAGTTTTAAACAAAATTACTTATTAAAACCTTAATAGATACCTAACATTATCAAACTGTTCACAATTTTATCATGGATTATATCTGTGACCATTTCCTAAGGTATATTTTGTTGTCGCGGAGAACCTAACGGGTAACCGGGGCTCCGGCTCGACGTGCAGGAGAAGGAACGGGGTGATGTTTAGTCAGTAAGAGTCTGACACTCCCTCCCGCCTCACCCAGACGGGAGCAGTCATTCGATGATTTTCCCTCCTTAAAAAAAGGTATATTTTGTTATGGGTTTTTATTTAGAGAAATATCAGTAGGTAAATTTAATTTGTTGTCGTTATGTGGATTGTCATCTTTATGTCAATAGTAGTAAGGTTTTTTTTAGCTTTTACCCCATTATTATTAGCCTTTTTTAAGGGGTGGATAATCATCGAATGACTTCTCCCGCCTGGGTGAGGCGGGAGGGAGTGTCCGACTCTTACTGACTAAAAACCACTCTGTTCCTACTCCTGCACTTCGAGCCGGAGCCCCGGTAACCCGTTAACTTCTCCGCGGTTCCGAATCAGCATCAGCCCTATTGGGCCCCATCTGTGGAGGTCTGATGGCTCTTTGAGGCGCGCGCGGAACGCGACGCGCCGTACGCTCGGGTCTGGTTCTGGTCGGGTGGCGAGTCACTCATGCTCGCCGTCCACAGGCCTGTGCTATACATAATAATGAAATCTATTTTAATGAATAAATTAGTTTAATACAAGGCTATATAAGTACATCCAGTATAATACGTATATCCCACATGGGTGTAAAGGTCTCATCCTTACAAATTATTCAAGCTACATGGTTCATAGTAGCCATTGATCGTTGAGGAGTTCCCATAGTTATCATACTCCTTCATCATCAGGCCCCTAATTACAATCACACTCCATTTAGGTGTATAGTTCTCGTCAAAACAAATAAATGAAGCCCAAACACCAGGTAGCTACTGTCAGCCGTTGAGGAGTTCCCTTAGCTATCATAATCCTTCATCATCAGGCCCCTAATGAGAATCATACCCCATTTAGATGTAGAGTTCTCATCATTTCAAATTAATCAAGCCCAAACACCAGGTAGCTATTGTCAGCCGTTGAGGAGTTCCTTTAGCTGTCATAATCCTTCATCATCAGACCGATAATGGTATTCATAACCCATTTAGGTGTAAAGTTGTCATCACTTCCAATTAATCAAGCCCAAACACCAGGTAGCTACTGTCAGCCGTTGAGGAGTTCCCTTAGCTATCATAATCCTTCATCATCAGACCCCTAATGATATTCATAATCCATTTAGATGTAGAGTGCTCATCACTTCAAATTAATTAAGCCCAAACACCAGGTAGCTACTGTCAGCCGTTGAGGAGTTCCCTTAGCTGTCATAATCCTTCATCATCAGACCGCTAATGATATTCATAACCCATTTAGGTGTATAGTTCTGATCACTACAAATTAATCAAGCCCAAACACCAGGTAGCTACTGTCAGCCGTTGAGGAGTTCCCTTAGCTATCATAATCCTTCATCATCAGGCCCCTAATGAGAATCATACCCCATTTAGATGTAGAGTTTTCATCACTTCAAATTAATCAAGCCCAAACACCAGGTAGCTACTGTCAGCCGTTGAGGAGTTCCCTTAGCTGTCATAATCCTTCATCATCAGGCCCCTAATGAGAATCATACCCCATTTAGATGTAAAGATCTTCTCAATACAAATAATTTAAGCCCAAACACGGGGTCATTGCTACAAATCCTCGAGGAGTTCCCTCGGCTGTCTTTAGACTCCATCATCAGATCAACTCCGTACTTTCATCAAATTGTAGTAGTTTCAAATACTATATCAAAAAATTGACAAACGCTCTCGCTGCCCCTACAATTTTGAAAAGTTCCCCTCGGTTTCCATGGGATCCCATCATCAGATGTTCTTTGTGGAAATAGGACCTTCCCCGAGATTATGACCTTTACAACAAAAAAAGAATAATGGCCGGAGTAATTAGGTAACATACACACAAAAAAAATATAAAAAAACATACAGCCGAATTGATACCTCCTCCTTTTTGGGAAGTCGGTTGAAAAAGTATGTCTCACAATAGTCATTATAAAAACACTAGCTTTTACCCGCGGCTTCGCTCGCGTCACAAAAGGATAAAAAGTAGCCTATGTGACTATCCATCCGTTCAACTACCTTCAGTTAAAAAATCACGTTAATTAGTACCTCCGTTCTGCCGTTTAAGACAGGCAAACAAACAAATAGCTTTCCGCTTGCGTGGAATTCGGTTATATCGCGCTATTTAGATTTTTCCAATAAGTAGGTAATTCGTTGACTGGTTTTAAATGACATACAACGCCATCTATACCAGTACATACAGCGCCATCTATACCAATATTTTCGTTTTTCCTAGGAAATATCAATTTTTTCCGGGATAAAAAGTTCCCTATTATTTAATGCAGACTTCTAACTTTACGTCTGCAAAATTTCAAAGCAATCGGTCGAGTAGTTACGGCGTGAAGGCGGAACAAACAAACAAACAAACAAACTCACTTTCCGATTTATAATATACCTCGTGTGTTCATAAGTTTTGAGACAAATTAAAAGTTGCATATCTTTTTAAATAATAAACTTATATTTATAAAAACAATAACAAACATTAAGTAGATAGTAAGTAAAAATTAAATATAATTATTATTCAAAATGACCACCCCTGTTTTTAATACATGCCCTTAGACGATTTGGCCAGTCATCAATGGCGGCACGAATCTTTTCCAGAGGAATTCGCTTCGCTTCTCGGACAAGAGCTCGCTTAAGTGACTCCAAGTTTGGGTGGGACTTTCGGCAGGCTCTGAGCTCTCATTCGGTCCATAGAGAATAATCCAGCGGGTTGAGGTCGGGGCTGGAGGAGGGCCATTCGTTCGCCGCAATGAAGGCCGGCACATTTTCCTTCAGCCAAGCTTGGGTGGTTTTAGCCTTATGGGATGGCGCCGAGTCTTGCAGGAAAACCCAATACTTGTTATGGAATAGGGTATTAGACAGGGGATTCACAACAGTCTCTAGAATGTCACTTTGATAATTTTTGGCTTTCACCTTGACGCCTTGTTGGCAGAAATGAAGCTGAGTGACACCTTCGTACGAAACTCCCCACCATACCATGACACTAGCCGGATGATGAGTACGCGAGACATTCCGTGCTGAAGGTGGGACATCCTTGCTACTTTTGGCATACACTTTATTGTTTTGTCGATTGAACTTTTCTTCGACGGTAAAGATTTTCTCGTCGGTGAAGAGTATCTTCCTCGCATCGTGTCTCCTAAGTAATATTGGACAACGTTCGCGTCGCCAGTGACGAAGGCGATCGTTTAAAAAGTGTACTTTTCTACGGCTATACGCCTTAACCTTGAGATCATATTTCAGTATTCTGTTGACTGAAACGCGCGAAATATTGGTCTGCAGAGCGAGTTTCTTCTGAGTGCGACATGAATTTCGGCGAAGTCGCTCTCGGATGATTTTAATGTTCGCAGGCGTCCTCACAGAGCGTGGACGACCACTTCTTTGCCGATCATGTAAAGAACTTGTCTCCTGGTATCGTTTAATAGTGTAATACACGAAGTTACGGCTCACACCAAAACTTTTCAGTTCTCGGAAAATGTCCATAGGTTTTCTTCCCACCTTAAATAATGAAATGACGGTCGCACGTAATTCTTTTGTTCCCTCCATTACGAGAAAATTTAAAAAAAAAACCGAAATCATAGATATTAAAAGTTAACATTCCAAATTCAAAATTAGAAAAAGAAATATACAGCAGCCAGTAATTTTTATTTTATTTTTATAAGCAAAAAGTTTGTCTCAAAACTTATGAACACACGAGGTAAAGTAAGGATAATTTTTCTTTTTACAGTTTGAACTAGTATCAAAATTGTCCTGCGACAGTCCATACATAGACGCTACAGATCTATCAGCAATCATAGACAAGACCGTTGCGCCGGAGCATAGAGTAAAGCTCCTCCAATCATTGTCTATACTCGAGTTGTCTTTGGTCATCGCTATGAAACATGGTATGGAGATATTTGACGGACAACCCATGAATTTTGAAATGGTTTTGCATAGGTAAGCAAAATAATTCATTATTTTATTTTATCGACAGAGGCAGAGTGCTCGCAAGGTCTCGGGTTCGATTCCCTGGTCGGGCAAAGTATTACTGGGTTTTTATAAAAAAATCTCCGTAGCAGCGCGGAGTCTGGACTTGTACCCGGTATGGCAATAGGCGTACCCCATATTACATGGGACTCATAACATAAATAGTGAAAAGTGGGTGTTACATTGTACAGTGGTATTAATTGCCGTAATGTGCATCTCTGCCTACCTCATTTGCGACCACTAGGCCATCGAGGCACAACAACATAGTTTAAAAACGCAAATAAAAAATATCTTTATCTTTAAAAATAAAAAAAAATTACCAAAAATTGTATTGTGAACCTGATTGAAAAAGAGTAACCTATGGAGTTTCTTGCTCGTTCTTCTCCATAGGAATCTACACTTTGGAATGAGCAAATAGCTTCATTAGAGGACTGACCTACAGACTGACATTTTTTCTTATTAATTTATTATTTAAATATTTTGTTTTGACGTTCAAAAGTGCCTTCCCGGTCTAATTTTTTTATGGCGTAAACCGGTAAACGAGCATACGGATCACCTGATGGTAAGCAATCGGCGTCGCCCATGGACACCTGGAACACCAGAGGCGTTACAAGTGCGTTACCGGCATTTTGGGGATTAGGAGTTTGAGGATCGTTGGGGATTCAGGGATTGGGGAGATTGAAATAAATGATTTTGACTTTGAACATAGTACTATGTAACACTAACAATAAAACTCATTCCCTCAGATACACGAAGTTCGCGAACTCAAACTCATCAACACAGACAGTACCTCGTCCAGTCATACTAAAGGCGTTCGAACATCTACAAGAACTAGAAATCATAATGCCAGTCAAAACCACAGATTCAATATATAACGGAAGTGAAACCACAGCCAATAGAGTGCAAAAAGAATATAAGTTGTTCACTCTGGCCGTACCAAATGAAGATATAAGTGATGCCGTGAAGAATTTCAAAGCGTTGCCAACTGAAATTAATCATTGGTTCAATAATTCTGTTGTTTGATTTTTTTTTGGTGTGGCAACTTTTGGTTATATGTCACTGTCAATGTCAAAGCTTGGGTTTTGGTTTTGTTTTAGTAGTAAAAAATGTAATTCTTAACTTATATCTTACTAGCTTTTACCCGCGGCTTCGCTCGCGTCACAAAAGGATAAAAAGTAGCCTATGTGACATATACCAATACACACAGCGCCATCTATACCAATACTTTTGTTTTCTCTCGGGAATATCAAATTTTTCCGGGTTTCAAAGTACCCTATTATTTAATCCGGACTTCTAACTTTACGTCTGCAAAAATTCAAAGCAATCGGTTTAGTAGTTACGGCGTGAAAGCGGAACAAACAAACCAACTCACTTTCCGATTTATAATATTAGTAAAGATTAGTTAAGGATCACACACTGGTAAGTTAGGAGTCGGTGCCACAAGTTTTAAACAAAATTATTCGTTAAAACCTCAATAGATACCTAACATTATTAAGCTGTTTACAATTTTATTATGGATTATAGAATAGTAGAATAGTAATCTTTATTTCAGGCTCAGAGCTCATAAACGGTTAGTAACAATTTACTTATACAACTAGTGTTAGTAACACAAATTTGTTCATATTACAATTACTATTATTATACCTACAATCAGATTTCAATTAAAAAACAAATGCCTGTGACCATTACTTAAGTTATATTTTGTTATGGGTTGCTATTATTTAATCCGGACTTCTAACTATACATCTGCAAAAATTCATAGCAATCGGTTTAGTAGTTACGGCGTGAAAGTGGAACAAACAAACTCACTTTCCGATTTATAATATTAGTAAGAATTAAGGATTATGTACTGAAATGTAAATGCATTCAGTTTCATCTTACCTTAAAAATAAATGGGTAGTAATAAAAGCTCCGACAAAAAGAGAAGAATTGTCCTTACTGAAAATATTAAATCTACTGCCTAAAATACTAACTTTCCGACTACTTTTGTCCGAATAAAAATGACGAAACGACCGTATGAGATATGGAAATCTTCGAAGAATAAACATGACTGTTTATTGCTACAATACTAACCTAACCTAACCTAAAACGTCTGTTGTCGGTAACTTAGTAATTTTGTCGGAGGTTTAATATTCTATTCGGAAGTTTAGTTTTGTTATTCGAAGATCCATTTTTATAGTCGGCCACAGATCGCTGGAGATTAATTTGTTTTTCGGAACCATTATTATTTTCCAAAATAAATTAATGATTATGTTTTCGGTTAACTCATGAAACTCTTTGACGAGGAACTCGACTAGTTTCAAGCTCATGTATGTGAGCCTCTAGCTTGACTTGAAACTAGTCGAGTTCCTCGTCAAACAGTTACGTGAGTAAGTCGGAAACGTAATAATTAATTTAGTATGTTTCATGAGTTTTAATATAAACTTAACTTAAAATAATTCAAACCCAGTTTTATTAAGTTGTGAGTAATGGTTCTTGTCGAATAAATAATCATAAAACAATATACAATGTATTAAAAACCCCTATTAAGACTGAAATTAATAAAAAATAAAACTAATTTATTAATTTGTACTTTGTTTTATTCACAATTTTATTATCTTAATATTACTATTCTTATACTACCTACCTATTAGGTAGTACCGTCATTACCATAAGGGTACTTGGGGCGTGTGTCCAGGGCCCCCATCCTCAAGGGACTCTGAAGGACCGACAATTATTACGACAGACACACCCGATACAAGTTGCACGGCAATCTGCTACCGCGTAACCTGTAGAGGGTTGGATTCGTGTGCGTTACCCAGGCCAGATGTTGTCGAAAATGGTCATTTGAATCTTATAGATAATTAGTTGTGCGACTTCTGTAATTGTTGCGCACATTTTAAAATTGCATCGCACGGAGCAAATCTTTCTGTGATCCACAAATTGTTGCTTCGGATCTGGGTGTCATGTTTATGTGAAAATGCAATAAAGATATTTGAATTTGAATAGGGTAGATGATTTTTTTTTTTTAATGTCCATCTGGTAGATTATTTTAAAACATTAGACATGTTTGTTTTATTTTTTTACAGAAACGAATACGTTCGACGATATTTCAAATTCTATGTACATTTTATACGTAGAAATGACGTTTTAGACCCCACTCCTAAACTTTGATTCGTTTTATCTAAGTATTGTTTTATTATACGACAAAATAAAAAAATACGTGTCTAATATTTTTTCATTACTAATTACATTTTTAATTTTCATACCCTGTCATCATCCCTATTTAACTTGTATGTTTGTAAACGTACACACGACACAGGAGAATCCCAGTATGGGTCAACGTTAAAAAAAATACATTCCAAATGGGCCCCGGATTGTTCTGTGCCCAAGGGCCCCAACGTTGTCAAAGACGGACTAGCTACTAGGTATTTAGTTATTTATCACCGGGTACTATAATATGCTTCTTAATCTAACCACCTAATATTAGAAGTAGCACTTCTTTGGACATCTCTTTTATAATCGTCTTCATGAAATCTGTACCTAAATCGGTCCTGGCTAGCACTAATTCGACCCAAATCCTCCAATTCTTTAGGCGACAAATCTTTATACCTTTTTCCTTTTATTTCCTCTGGTATCACGTGAATTACATTACTGATCTCTTTATTTATTAGTGTGGTATCATTAATTTCGTGCACCATAGAGTCTAGAGCGCTGTGGGCGTGGTTTCTAGTGTTGCCAGGTCGTTTGTGCAAAAAGCCTTGGGTTGTGAACGATGGCGTTGGCTCCTGGTCGCTGACGTATGCTTTGTTATTAAATACATGGAATAGGCCGTTCTTTTTCTTTGCCTGTAAAGAAATACTGTTATCGTTAAAAATAGTTTTGATTGACATTTGTCAGATAGTAATTTTAATATGAGATGTAGTTGTATATTAAGGCAATGTGCAAAGGTCAAAAGTCCACTGCCACCGTGAGTGATTTGTAGAATGACACACGGCAATGCGTAAGTAATTTCATATTAATGTGCATAAAAACGCGTGCGTACGCATTAACACAGGCACGCGTACACAGGCGGGTAAAAATATGCGTGCGCATGTGTGTATAAGCGCTGCAGCGCAACCGATAGTAGTCTTACGGTGGCAGTGGACTTTTGACCTTTGACAAATACAAATACCAATATTATTTATTTCGTCAATGTAGGTATGTTACAATAGATGGTAGATAATATTATGGTAGTGCGCCACATTGTGTATATATGCTTTTATGATTTTTATAAATACGGTCCCCTATTTTGATGAAAGAAATACATACATACTACTTCCACGGAGATATAAAAAGTACAGAAAATCGGACAGGTAAAAATAATAAAAAAAACAATACAATTTAAAAAAGGCATGTAATTGTAATTAGTAAAATTAAATTTAGGTACATTAGGTTTTATCCGCAGACTATAGATATAGCAACCTGCCTCAACGAACATTATAAATTATTAAATAAAAATAACAAAATTCTGGGAGCTAAGATATGGGAGATTTCCTAAAAAGGTGCATTGAAGTTATTTTATCCAATGACAGCTAAATACACGACTATATCATAACATGTCTAAAATCGTGACTAAAATAAATTTTGAATTGAATATTTTTTTAAAAAGCTTTGATGCAGCATGGTCGTTTAAGTGTGGGAGAGCCATGCTTCGGCACGAATGGGCCGGCTCGACCGGAGTGATACCACGGCCTCACAGAAAACCGACGTGAAGCAACGCTTGCGTTGTGTTTCGTCGTGTGAGTGAGTTTACCGGAGGCCCAATTACCCTCCCCTTCCCCAACCTCCCCAATTCCTGAATCCCCAACCATCCTCAAACTCCTAATCCCCAAAAGGCCGGTAACGCACTTGTAACGCCTCTGGTGTTCCAGGTGACCATGGGCGACGCCGATTGCTTACCATCAGGTGATCCGTATGTTCGTTTACCGGCTTATGCCATAAAAAAAATGGTCATGCAAACTAAACGTGTGTACAAAATTTCAACTCAATCAGTTGAAGATATCTGCTTCAAAATTTATCTGCAAGATTGCAAGATACACACATGCATACACTGTAATTTATATGCTTGTATTGTAAGTACATACATGGTCAAACTCACCAACTAAATACTATACATTTTTTTTAAGAATACCTACTTACATTTTACACTGACCTACCTATTAGAATAGAATAATAGAATAAGAATAATTAATATTCTATTATTCTTATTCTATTATTCTATATTCCATAAATATGTTAAAAAAAATATATTTTTTATTTTAAAAGACTTCATGCACACACTAATGTACAAGGTGGGCTTAATGCCTAGGGCATTCTCCTCCAGCCAGACCTTTGGGTGATGCAGAGACAAAAACAATGGTCGATGCAAGAAGCAAGCGTATTTAGGACTAAACAGAAATACATAAAAAAGGATAGTATAGACTTACATAAAATAAATCCCTATATAAACTTACATCATCTAAACTTACATCCCTATATAAAATAAATGTTAAGCAAATGTAATTTATGATAAGCTAGTGACAGCGCTAAAATTTGCAACGCCTGAAAAAGGCCGTTAAGCTGTGCCTGTTATTTCATAAGACCCTGTATGTATTACCTTAACATACAAATAAAGACTGAGTTTGAAAAAAAAACTGCGTCTTGTCTACAGACTACATCTACGTCAGTGTCTATTTCCATAGACACTATCTAAATTTCCAAATAGCCTTCTAAACGAGACATTGGTTTAACTACATATACTATAAATATGTACTAGCCTCATTGAGTTTGTCGACGATGTATCCGTGGCCGGTATTCATACCGACTGTAGCCATTTGTTCTATACTGTTGGATCTGTGGTACGGACGCAGAGCTGATACTGCGCGAGATATTCCCACCTGGAGTGAAAGAAATAATGATTAAATATTGTGAATATCGCCGCCCACTTCTCATGCATGAGGGTGCGGGTTCGAAACCTACCAACGGCAAGTACCTACCAATGTGACTTTTTCCGAGTTATATGTACTTTCTAAGATTATTCAGACACCACTGACAATCGGTGAAGGAACAACATCGTTAGGAAACCTAAGCTTATAATTCCTAATTATAAGTTTCAAATCACCAACCCGCATTGAACAAGCGTGGTGATTAATGCTCAAACCTTCTCCATGTGAGAAGAGGCTTTGCTCAGCAGTGCGCATTTATAGGCTGTTAATGATCATAGGTTTTTAATAGGCAGATCGTAGTATGAAATAAACTTTGTCGTGAATGGGAAAATGGTATTGGTCCAGTAAACCCAATAATGGGTACCCTACGCAAGAATCACCCCATTTATTAAGGCCTGGCGCCTACTATCGCGTGCCCTACGGCGGCTTTGGCCTTCTTCAGGCACCTTCGGGTGGCTTCGGGCGGCTTTGGGAGCCTGAGAACTGCCTCGACAGTTTACGACTGCCGAGAAAAAGCCCGAAGCCGGCGTAAAGCGCTCGACCTGCACCGATGCACACCGGTAGTGAGAAGGATACCCCATAAAAAAGATGTAATAGTACATTACCATTTCAACTAACCAAAGAAAATAGGGGGCAAACTTTTTAACTATAAATAACTAGCTTCTGCCCGCGACTTCGTACGCGTAATCCCATTTTTTCCCGTCCCCGTTCGTGATTTTCGGAAAAAAGTTAAAAAAAAATTTGGTTAAAAATCCTATCCTATGTCGGTCTCCTGGCTCTAAGCTACCTCCCTACCAATTTTAAGCCAAATCTATTCTGCCGTTCTTGAGTTATAAGTGCTGTAACTAACACGACTTTCTTTTATATATATAGATTTGCATTGCCCTAAAATCGACCTCATTTTTGTTAATTATTTCGTTAATATTCCGATACGTTTCGTCGAAGCTAAACACAAGATATTTTCAATCGGGTTTCATGTAGCGTTAGACGAGAGCTTACCTGTCCATGTCTAATCCTGTGTTCAGTAATATCAGCTCCTAGCAGTTCAGTGTATGGATCCATCCGTATTGGCATGATCTTGTCAATGCACCATAGTAACGTGATGGTGACCAGAATACCCCAGGTCATTAGACAAACGCCTGTTAGAGATTGTACGCCGAGGAGATACCAGCCACCCCCTGGAAAAAGGTATAATAGGGATGATGACAGGGTATGAACCATATGAACATAAAAAACCAGTTCAGTTTGACTTGACAGATACATGACATTGAATTAAGTACTGATAGAAAAATACGATGCGTGCATTTATCAGTTGTCTCAACTGCCTACCTTAATTAAATAAGTAAATAATAAATATTATTAATTAGTCCGTCAGTTAGGTAATGTTTTTACATTTATTTTATTAGACACGCATTTTTTTATTTTGTCGTAGGTATAAGAAAACAATACTTAGCCTAAATATAACATCAAGGAGCTATCAGACCACCACAGATGGGGTCTAACAGGGCTGATGCCGATACGGAGCCGCGGAAGACTTAACTGGTTGCCGGGGCTCCGGCTCGAAGTGCAGGAGTAGGAACGGGGTGGTTTTTAGTCGAGATGTGAGATAATCACAAAGTGTGTGATACTCCCTCCCGCCTCACCCGGGCGGGAGAAGCCATTGGATGATTTTCCCCCCTCAAAAAAAAAGCCTACATAAAACGAATCAAAGTTTAGGAGTGGGATCTAACTACGTCACTTTTGAGTATAAAACGTCCTCAAAATGACGTCACGCGATATTTCAAATCAATATGTCGTCGAAAGTATCGGTGTCCACAAGAAATTAAAATAGTACGTGTCTTATGATTTTAAATAATTTACCATACGGACATGAAAATAAAAATTAGTCATCTATCCCAAATATGAAGCTAAAAGTATGCAAGGATAAGGATATTTTGCAGGTATAAATGGGCGGGCTTCATTAAAGCGATACCACGGCCTCACAGAAAACAGCCGGATATAACCAAAGCGTTATGTGCAGCCGTGTGAGAAAGGTTACCGGAGGCCCAATCTTCTCATCTCATTCCTAATCCCCCCAAGACCCTAATCGCCAAATCAAAGACATCACGGAAATCACGATCCAATGCCTTTAGCCAAACGCCACTTTAGCGCTTGTCTACAGAGAGAGTAGAAAACCAAATGTATGGATGACACTGACAAGTGTCAAAATTCACGTCAATTCTATATAATTTGGTCAAACCCATTTGTTTTGTCGTTTCAGTTACTAACTATGTACTAAAAACTACGGCAAATTTAAGTTCGACGGTTCATTAATCTGCCGTCACTCTCGACACTGGCAGTGTAGTCGACAACATCGTTTTGGAGACTTGGTTGCCAAAGAAGAAAAAAAATATATATCGATTCTACATGTAGACAAGCGCTAAATTGCATTTGGCTATATCTGCAGTTATAGGCTAGATTGTAGATTGTGGTGTAAATTTCTATTGAACACAGTTTAGACAACAGAGAGTATAGTTCCCTAAGATCGGAAAAGGAGGATCCTCCGACCAGGCGAGGTGATCGTGCCTGGCGGGCTTTCTGCCCAACAGTTGCTCGTTGGGATTTTCTATCCGTGTTAATTTGCATGTAAACTTTGCATGTGCGATGTACGATTTTTGTGACGTCATCCGTTGATATGTAGCATGTGTCGCCACAACAGCATGTCATTATGTGTGTAACATACCCTTGAATAGTCCAGATCTGCCGTTTGTAGTTTCCATAGGAATCGGATTATCAGCGAACAGTCCCACTGCTAGTACACCTGTTAATAAAAAGTTATATCATTTCTGTACATACATACATACATAACATCACGCCTTTTACCCCCGAAGGGATAGGCAGAGGTGCACATTATGGCACTTAATGCCACTGTACAATGTAACACCCACTTTTCACTATTTATGTTATGAGTCCCATGTAATAGGGGGTGAGCCTATTGCCATATACCGGGCACATTTCCAGACTCCGTGCTACCACTGAGGTTTTTACAAACCCAGTAATACTTTGCCCGACCCGGGAATCAAACCCGATACCCCTTGCCCGGCAGTCGCACTTGCGACCACTCGGCTAATGAGGCAGGCATCATTTCTGTCTGTGAATAATTTGAACAGTAAAGTAATGGAAATTCTCGATTGGCTTGTAAGTATTACAAAATAAGATTTTGTATTATAATATGTATTGTTTTTGTTATTATTATTATAATTTGGTCATCAAGATTAATCTGTCAAACACCAAGCGGTCACCGGTGACCGCGACCTATTGTTCTTTAATTGTGTCTATAAAACCGGTACTCGACGAGTTAAGGGTGTGTATCAAATAACAGATCGAGGGTAAAATACGAGTTCCATTTGACCCAAACAAAACATGGGCAAGCTAAAGGACGTTGAAAAATAGGCGGACAGTCTCTTGAGACAACGACTGTGGCACCTGGCTACTATAGACTTACACGCAGAATACACACACATTGACACGAAGGACATTTATTTATTTATTTATGCACAACACAGATACAGTACACAGGAGAACACATAATATAAATAAATTGAAGGTACATAGGTACTACATATTCCCGTAGGAATCTCTTCCTTCAGTCCTTCGACAGGAAAAACGGTAAAAAATAAGACAATGTGCGTAACATGACATGGAGAAAGAAAAAGAATAAAATTGATTAAAATTCAAGCCAATAGGTACTTAAAACTACATTTTTTTTTAAAGGGATAAGCCCGCCGCAACCTCCCAAAACCGCTGCAACTCCTGTAAGCCAGGATCTACAGTAGATACAACCATGAAAACACCGGAACACTGAAGTCCGGCGCGTCTCAGGGACATGAGTAACTGTCTTGGTTCCCGCAACGAAGTGAATCAGACGATATTATAAGAGGAGAAGAAAAAACTATAGTTTCCACTTCCCTCGGTGAATTACTGCAGGAGACAGAATGAATTAAGGCTAAAGGCACAAAGAAGAGACAATACAACTGGGTGAAGCCTAGTCGCCAAGCACCACGGAAATCTGACTAAAAAACTAAGTGGGTCCTATGTGTGAGCTGTTATACTTGCTTCCAATAATAGGTATGACAAAAACGCCTAAACGCACGGAAATTTGTTCTAGATTCCACAAGGTCCGTATAATAAGCTACACCTGACGAAACAATTAAATTACATACACAAAATAACACCGATAAATAATGTATTAAATAAATAGATCTGAATAAAATACATAAACCTTATGGACATCTTGTATACTGAACCTGATTGTAAAAGAGTAACCTATGGAGTTTCTTGCTCGTTCTTCTCCATAGGAATCTACCTCTACACCTGCACCATGAGCAAATAGCTTCACTTTTAATTTTTTTTATTGACGTTCAAAAGTGCCACTCTGGCCTAATGGGGATGATGACAGGGTATGAAAATTAAAAATATAATTAGTCCGTAAGTTAGGTAATGAAAAAATATTAGACACGTATTTTTTTATTTTGTCGTATAATAAAACAATACTTAGATAAAACGAATCAAAGTTTAGGAGTGGGGGCTAAAACGTCATTCCTTAGTATAAAATGTACTGAGAAGTGACGTCACGCGACATTTCAAATCAATATATCTTCGAAACTATTCGTTTCTGTGAGAAAATAAAAAATACGTGTCTAATGTTTTTAAATAATCTATCAGACGGACATTAAAATAAAAATTAGTCGTCTACCCCATTGAAATAAATGATTTTGACTTTGACTTTGTCATTTTCTCAAGTCTCGTAACGTGGTAAGGTAACCCATTACTCACGCACACATAAAAACACTGCCATACTGGTGCTTCAATAATTTCTAAGTGACGCGATGTTAGCCTTTTTTCAACGTCCTTGGGCCGGCTTAGCAAAATTGTTCAAAAAGAACTGTGAAGGTTTTTCTTACCCCAAAGTCCACAGGCACCATGGACGGCGGACGCTCCAACTGGGTCGTCAACCCCCATCATATCGAACAAGGGAGATGTGCCCGACGCTATAGCGGCCCCTATAAACCCTATCAGCAACGACTCCCAAGCTCGGTAGAGGAAACAGCCAGCTAAGGTAAGAAAATGAAAGATTTTCACCAAACTTTAAGGAACTCCTAAGCAAAGTGACACTTAATTGCATTTTGGTATTCAATATCTGTTATCTGACGGTGAAACTAAGGGGTAGTTTAGGTGCTCCCACTGAGCAACTCTCAGTTAAGAGATAGTTTAGGGCCATTAGACTTGCAGAAAAATGGCTTCAAATAAAAAAGCTTGCGTTATGGTACGCCGTTTGAGTGAAGCATGCGGAGGCCCATCTCTCACTAAGACAGCAACGCATTTGTCCGCAGTGTTCCGGGTGTCCATGGGCGGCGCCCATTGCTTACCATCAGGTGATCCGTCTGCTCATTTGCCATCATATACCATAAAAACGTAGATTGTGAATTGGAAGTGAATTGCAATTACCAGTGATAGAAACCAACGACCCTAACACACTGTTGATGAGTTCCATCACTTCTGCCTTTCCTTTGTTTTTGATTAGCGTGAACCTGAAACCAAAAGGAAATATTCACTACTAGCTTTTACCCGCAGCTTCGCTCGCGTCACAAAAGGATTAAAAGTAGCCTATGTGACATATACCAATACACATAGCGCAATCTATACCAATTCTTTTGTTTTCCCTCGGGAATATGAAATTTTTCCAGGATAAAAGTACCCTATTATTTAATCCAGACTTCTAACTTTACGTCTGCAAAATTTCAAAGCAATCGGTTTAGTAGTCACGGCGTGAAAGCGGAACAAACAAACTCACTTTCCGATTTATAATATTAGTAAGGATTCAAAAAAAGATCAAAGGCTTACGAACGTATTAGGTATACTAGAAGAAGACCAAAAAGACCAGAGTAGATTAGAGTAGGGAATAGGTATACTAGATTTGTCATCATCATCATCAGCCTGTTTCCATCTGTTGCTGAATCTCCAATCTTCAGCTCTTCGGATCTAGCGACGGCCAGCCACACAACGGATATCGTCACTCCATCTAGTTGAAGAGCATCTTACACAACATTTGCCTAAATGCTGTCTCCACTACAGAACACGTCTACCCTAGCAGTCCTAGAATTCTTCGACAAATATGACCATCTAGGCGATTCTACATACATACATAACCTCACGCTTGTCTTTCATAGGATTTCTTTTTAAGGGGGGAAAATCATCGAATGACTGCTCCCACCTGGGTGAGGCGGGTGGGAGTGTCAGACTCTTACTGACTAAAAACCACCCCGTTCCTTCTCCTGCACATCGAGCCGGAGCCCCGGTAACCCGTTAGGTTCTCGGCGACATCTTTCAAAGGGGTAGAAAAGTAAGAACGCCAATTGCCAGACTACTCTGTAATTTTCAATTCGTACTTTCAAAGTGAACTGGTTCGCATCCTCGCCCGTTATTGGTCGAGATTATTCTCTTAACCAATGAGATGGCGGACCACGATCGAGGTCACTTTGATCTTCGAAATGAAAGTTGCATATTTGCCTAGCAGTCCATACGGAGCCGCGGAGGACTTAACGAGTTGCCGGGGCTCCGGCTCGAAGAGCAGGAGTGGGAACGGGATGGATTTTAGTCAGTAAGAGTCTGACACTCCCTCCCGCCTCACCCAGGCGGGAGCAGACATTCGATGATTTTCCCCCCTTAAAAAAAAGCCTAGCAGTCCATTGCCACTTCAGTTTGCTAATTATTTGGTTCTTTCTCAGATCACCTCGTTCAATTACACTAGGTATACTAACAGGAGTCCGAAGCAGCCTCCTCCGAAAGATCCCATCATCGTCATCACAGCTGCCCTTGCTGCATATTGCCATTTAGCTCCACTCACCTGCAAGCACAGGACATGACGTATATTTCAATGAACATGACGAGTACAGAAGATAATGACACGTTGGATTTTTGATGGACTCTTGCTTTTTTATTTTCGATGTCGTGGTGGCAAACGGTGCACGGACAAACGGTGAAGGAAAACATCGTGCTGAAACCTGGGCTTTAAATTTTTAATTATAAGTTTGAAATCGCCAATCCGCATTAAGTAAGCGCTCCATTAATGCTCAAACCTACTCCCTGCGAGAAGAGGCCTTGGTCAGTATTGCCCACTTGTAGGCCGTTGATGATGAATGCTCTTTTATTAATTAGCAAGGGTTTTGAAATCGAACGTGGCTTAAGGAGTAATAACGTAACTAATATGGCCACGAACATACCTTTGCCGTTGACATTATAAAAATATGTGCGTCTTTCGTCAAATCATAGCGCGTTTTATTCATCGAAATAACATTTGATAAATTTACATGTGGATGGACAAAAATGGCGTCTGTTAGAAGGATTTTTTTTTTTAAAACGTTGCCCCAGTCTAGGATTTTCTCCTGTGTCGTGGGTGCGTTTACAAACATACAAGTTCACATACACAATGACACCCAGACCCGAAATAACAATTTGTGGATCACACAAAGTGTTGTTCCGTGCGGGAATCGAACCCGCGACACGTTGCACGGCAGCCGGTTGCCCAGCCACCGCACCAATCGTGCAGTCAATTGAATGAAGATACATTGTACCAAAGTCAAAGTCAAAGCATTTATTCAATTAATCCTTAAACTGTCAAACACCAAGCGGTCACCGGTGACCGCGACCTATTGTTCTTTAATTGTGTCTATAAAACTGGTACTCGACGAGTTAATTAAGCACTTTTGAAACGTCAAAAATTGATTTGTCCGTCCGTCTGTCTGTCAGTGAAGCTAGGCGCTCGTTCCAAAGTGTAGTTTCGAATGGAGAAGAACGAGCAAGAAACTCCATCGTTACTCTTTTAAAAAATGTTTTTGCATTCTCATTGATACATTGATAGGATTCAGGATATAAATCCTTTCCGGCTGTAATAAATCGAAATCCAACTATGTACCTACATGTTACTAATAGGTAGGTTCATTATTAATTTTGGCATTGAAACCGCCACTTCTAAGACACAAGATAATGCACCTCATTTAAAAGAAACATGTTTTTTTTTAAACACGTTAAACGATGGGACATTACAGGCATTCCTAATGTGTCTAGGTAATCGCTCCGCATACGTAATGCCTACCCATTGTATACTAAATAGTAGCCAATCAATTAACCATACATTTGACATGCAAACTGAATTACAAGCAATTTGACTAATTTATTAAAATGGTCGACGTTTACCGACAATCCTGCTCAACTAATGATTTGCGTTTACCATGAATTGAAACGTTTTTTAGAGAACGTGCTTAGAGAGACGATACATTGAGTTTGTTTATTTGTTAGGTTCGATAGGGAGAACTTATGTGTGGGAGAGCCATGCTTCGGCACGAATGGGCCGGCTCGACCGGAGTGATACCACGGCCTCACAGAAAACCGACGTGAAGCAACGCTTGCATTGTGTTTCGTCGTGTGAGTGAGGTTACCGGAGGCCCAATTACCCTCCCCTTCCCCAATCTTCCCAATCCATGAATCCCCAACGATCCTGAAACTCCTAATCCCCAAAAGGCCGGTAACGCACTTGTAACGCCCCTGGTGTTCCAGGTGTCCATGGGCGACGCCGAATGCTTACCATCAGGTGATCCGTCTGCTCGTTTAACGGCTTATGCCATAAAACTACTGGGTCGATTTGAATGGATTTTTTTAACGAGAGCTAACATTCAACCACTACATGACCATGGACCTCCTCTGCATAAGAGGAATTGCTATTATATAGTAGGCAAGTCATTTATATATTCTAAAAATAGGAAAGGACCTAGTATTGAGCCCTGCGGTACACCCAAAGATATGCTAGCACCCTGTCAATTGCCATACAATTTAAGTTGCCTATCCCGAAAGTATGACTTTAGAGATACTTGGTAGATTAGTGATACCCCTCTAATGCCGTAGTGTTCCAGCTTTAGCAAAAACGTCTCGTGCTCAACACAGTCAAATGCTTGTTCGATACTACATATTACGTTACGAATGCGATAGTTATTCTGGTGATTGGATAATCTTAAAACACTAGATACTATACATACTACATAATTATACTGGCTACCTACAAATCTGGCGCTATTTCCATGTGTGAAGACCATAATGAGCTCATACCGACTCGACAGGATCATTTACGATAATGTGACTTCAAAAACAATAGTAAAAAATATTTAGCGATACTTAACTTCGACGCGGATTTCCATAACAGAAATGTATTGTTTCTATAATCGCTGCAAAATTTTAAATAGAAATCTTTGTGGCGGTAATGGTTACACTCGGACGCTATTCAGGAAATGTCCAAATATTTGTGAAAATAAATTATTTATCGTTAAATCTAGTTGTCTAAACGCGATTCCGGATTCTGGATTTTTGTCTTAAAAGTGAGAGATGGCAGAGTAGAGTATATTGTCACCAAAGAAAGAAAGAAAATGCATTTATTTGGCCATTGGCACACGAAAACAAGGATCGTTAAAATAGAAATAAGATAAAAATACAGATACACAAAAACAAAACATTAATAATAGACTTAAAAGAGAAAAGAAATGACCAAAAATCATTAATGCATCAGAAAATATGAAAAAACATTTAGATAAATAACCGAAACTAAAAACAATAAAAAAAATTATATATAAAACAAAGACCACCTATCCTATAAGATAAGAAATTAATAAAGGTCAAAATATTTGACAGAGAGTGATTCTAACTATGCTCAAGGACCGGGCAGTAGCTTTATGATTAAATAGATCCTTCTTAACTGCAATCTTCAATCTGCCTGCCGAGCTGTGGTGGGCTAAGCACCGCCGTGCCCTCAGGGATGTGATCGGCGACGGCGACCTCTCGCGTCCGGCCCTAGTCCGGGTCATGATGCGGAGTGAGAAGTACTAGGATGCCCATGCCAGCTAAGGAGGAAGCGGGGCGCGTGAGGCAGCGAAGTGCTGCCACCTCACAACCCAGCCGTCGCGAAGGACACTACAGGCGTCGGGGATCACAGGACGATCTCCAGCCACCGTAAGCGCGAGCTTGCGGACGGCGTGAATGGGTGGCTCGCCACCCGACCAGAAACAGACCCGAGCGTACAGCGCGTCGCGTTTCGCGTGCGCCTCAAAGAGCCATCAGACCACCACGGATGGGTCCCAATAAGGCGGGTTGGCGGAGGTCAAAGGCAGGAGTAGGAACGGAGTGGTTTTTAGACAGTAAGAGTCTGACACTCCCTCCCGCCTCACCCAGAGGGAAGAATTCGATGATTTTTTCCCCCCTTAAAAAAAGTCGTGAAATTATGACAAACGCAATATGTAGGTAAAAGCGGCTTATAGTCCAGGCTTAGTACAAGTTTGTGTTACGTTTAACGAGACCAAAACGAGACGCTCTGATTGGTTGGTTCATTGGAACCGGCCAATCGGAACGGCGAACGCGGTCTCGTACAAGTATATAAAATCGTTGATATAAAAAGTAAAACATATCGTGTGTCCGCTACTTAACTTGTGACATAACATGACTTATTCAACATTGGTCTTCCACTAATTGATTGTTTTTCTTGTGACCTTGCGGTGACGCATGTTCTAAAGCAGTGCAGTAAATTATCTTGAGCCAATAAATCTTTCTACAGTGTTTCGTTAAGACGTCGTGCTCATTTTAAATTGGACAAACTATGGTAATTAGTTTTCGTATTCAACATAGTATTTAATGTCTGTTTTCACCAAACTCCTATAATTTTAAGGAAGCCTTAAGCTAAGATAAGTGGCGCTGAACGACGTTTTGGGTTTTATCAACGTATTTGACACCTAATTTTTTCTAACGGTACCTATCTGGTTCGGGGTTCTGGTTCTGGTTTCGTTTCACGCTAAGGATTTTTTAGTTAAGAGGTGGTTAACGGGTGGTGATTGGTGAAAAAAGCTATAAGTCTTTCGGTGGATATGCTCAACTAAGGCCCAATCCTTCAAAAGGCCGGTAACACACTTGGAACTCCTCTGTCTGATGTTGCAGGTCAGCGGCGCCGATCACTTACCATCAGGTGATCGGTCTGCTCATTCGTTAGCCACACTATTTCATAAAAATATCTTTTGTGATGGACCTAATTGAATAATTTTTTCACCTTCTTTACCACCCACAATATTTGAAAATCAATATTCATCAAATCGGTCGAATAGCCGTTCTCAAATTTTAGCAAAAAAAAAACGACCAGCAAACTATTTTTAACCGACATCTTAAAAGAAGGAGATTTTCATTATAGACACAGGTCTACTTACCCCATATGTGCTGCCGGAATTGAAAGCCAGCCAGCCCCACCAGAGGACGAAAGTCCCCATGACTGCGTTGACAGGATTTCCCATAGGTAATGGAGTTATGCCATGAGCATACCGACCTAGTCGAGGACCTAGCATTAGAGCTGAAGCGAAGGCTGACGCGCCACCTGGATGGAAAAGATTTGATCTTTATTAAGATGTTTGATAAACTGACACAGACGGGATTCTAACTTTTGCCTACCGAATGTCCTCTTCATTTAACACTGACACTGATAATGTTATGAAGCTGTTTACTTTGTGTTGTGATCAAAATGTATTCACGATGTTAAGGTAACTCGTAATTTTCCCTGGAAATGTGTAGTAGTATGGCTATTTAGAACCGTAATAAAATAAGTGTGGGTGAGCCATGCTTCAGCACGAATGGGATCAGCTCGACCGGAGTGATACGGCCGAGCAGAAAACCGACGTGAAACAACGCAACTACGCAAGTTTCGTCGTCTGAGTTATGTTACCGGAGGCACAATTGTGAGTTATGTTACCCTCCCCAGACTCCCCAATCCCCAAATCCCCCACAATCCTCATATTCCGATTTTCCAAAAGGCCGGTAAAGCACTTGTAACGCCTCTGGTGTTTCAGGTGTCCATGGGCGACGCCGATTGCTTGACATCAGGTGATCCGTCTGCTCGTTTACCGGCTTATCCCATAAAAAATATCTTAGCATCTGACAGTCCTTTCATGTAAAATACTGACTTTCCCATCAAATCTGGTTCAAACTCAGTGACTTGACTCCAGCCTAGATTTTTTATAATTAACCTTTTGCCCCACACTAGGATTTTCTCCTGTGTCGTGGGCGCATTTACAAATATACAATTTCACATAAACATGACACCCAGATCCGAAACAACAATTTGTGGATCACATAAAGAGTTGTTCTATGCGGGAATCGAACCGGCGACACATTGCACTGCAGCCGACGACCAGCCACCTCACCAACCGTGTAGTCCAAGTTAGGGAAAATAAGAATATAAAAGATATTCTCTTATAAACCTGAACCTATTAAACTGCGATCTCCCATCCGCTTGCCAAGTGTGGTGATTATGGCAAACCCCTATTTTGTGGAGAAAGCGATGATATAGAAGATGACACTTCCAAAAACTCACTTCAAAAGCTCACCACTGGAAAACGCCTTACCTATAAGATGCACAGGTCCAGAGCCAGCGATGTCAACAGCGCCCAGCTTGTTCAGAAACCCATGGGAGCCCCACACCCAGCCGGCTGGCACACAGTAGACTATTGTGTTCAGCAGTGAGAACAGACAATACGCCTTGAAGTTACACCTGGTGGGGGAAAGAATTTTAATTCTTCATACACCGTTAAATTTGAATCATTTTAATCCCTTGGAGGTTCGAACTGGTCCATGAAACACTATCGATTTGTACAAAGTTTTACAAAATTTAAGAACACGTACGTTTGCAAATACACAAAGAACTGTTCCTAGGGGAAATCGGACACGTGACACGTTTCGCATCACCCTTTGTATGTACAATCAAAGGTCAAAAGTCCACTGCCTCCGTAGGACTACTATTGGTTGCGCTGCAGCGCTTATACAAACATGTATGTACATTTGAACATGTAATAAGTTGTGTAGCGATTGTCACATTCGTGTAAGTTTGTACAGATACACCCCTAATGGGGATGATGACAGGGTATGAAAATTAAAAATATAATTAGTCCGTAAGTTAGGTAATGAAAAAATATTAGACACGTATTTTTTTATTTTGTCGTATAATAAAACAATACTTAGATAAAACGAATCAAAGTTTAGGAGTGGGGGTTAAAACGTCATTTCTTAGTATAAAATGTACTGAGAAGTGACGTCACGCGACATTTCAAATCAATATATCTTCGAAACTATTCGTTTCTGTGAGAAAATAAAAAATACGTGTCTAATGTTTTTAAATAATCTACCAGACGGACATTAAAATAAAAATTAGTCGTCTACCCCATTTACCTCTTACCTCTCAGCCATAGCTCCACTGACAATCGTAGTAGCAGTAGTAGCGAAGGACAGTTGGAACAAGAATGATGCGAACACAGGCCCCATCAGAGCATCCCCCACTGGAGGGTCAAGCAAAAAGTCGCCCACCCCTATAAAGGGGTTGGAGTATGTCCCCTCCCCGAAGGACATGCCGTAGCCAAAAATCCAGTAGGTGAGACCTAAAGAGAAATTTCCATTTTTGAGTTCGGTTGGTGTGCTTTTTCGCAAGTATGAGTCCCGAATACGGCTTGAAACTTATCGAGTTACCTCTAAAACAGTTGAGTACCTAAGCCATGAAATATTATTTTAATTGTAACATAACTTGCCCTGTTTGTGGATAAGGGGACGAATAAAAGTATCTTATTGTAGCTTATTATTATTATCGGTTAAAAATATCTTAGTTACGGAGTCTCGAATCAGTAAGGGTAAATAGGGTCGCCCTCTATTAAGAGACACTTATACTAAAAGTGGAGAAAAGTGAGTGTAACTTTATTTTAATGTTTGCACCTCTTAAGCAGAGAACGCCATCGAAAAACGTTTAAAATGTATCCTTACTAATATTATAAATCGGAAAGTGAGTTTGTTTGTTATTTCCGCTTTCACGCCGTAACTTCTAAACCGATTGCTTTGAATTTTTGCAGTTGTATAGTTAGAAGTCCGGATTAAATAATCGGGTACTTTTTATCCCGGAAAAATTTGATATTCCCGAGGGAAAACAAAAGAATTGGTATAGATGGCGTTGTGTGTATTGGTATATGTCACATAGGCTACTTTTATCCTTTTGTGACACTAGCGAAGCCGCGGGTAAAGGCTAGTATGTTATAGTTTTGGAATTAAACCAAAAATCCAATAGAGACAAAAGAAGACAGATTATTAGTACCTTGGTAATAAAAATCTTACCCCCTAAAGAAATGTCAGCCAAGTTCTTCATCATAATGTTAGCTTCGTTCTTTATGGAGACACATCCAGACTCCAACATTCCGAAACCTGGAAAACACCTTTTATAAAGTCCTTTCTTTTTATCGCAAATACAAAGGAAAGATAGACATTTGACGTAGCAGGGGATGTGGACGACCTCGAAGCAGGAGTAGGAACGGCCACCCCGAACCTAACGGTTACCGGGTTACCGGGGCTCCGGCTCAACGTGCAGGACAAGGAACGGGGTGGTTTTTAGTCAGTAAGAGTCTGACTGACACTCCCTTTTGCCTCATCCGGGCGGGAGAAGTCACTCGATGATTTTGCCATCTCAAAAAAGCAAGTGACCTTCTAACTACGACCTTCTTTGAAAGAGTGGGTCAAGTCGCCAATTGAAAAGGTAAAAATGGTATTATTATAATCAGGATTAGCAAGATTAACAATTTTCCTCAAATAAATAGAGTAAACATGTTTTTAGAAGGCAAACATTGCATTACAGTGTGATTCACACTTGTACCTTTATATATTATGATGATGTAAAAAATTATGATGCTGCATATAATAGTTTTTTATGGCACGTCGTTTTTTTATGGCATATGCCGGTATACGAGCGTACGGATCACCTGATGGTAAGCAATCGGCGTCGCCCATGGACACTTGGAACACCAGAGGCGTTACAAGTGCGTTACCGGCCTTTTGGGGATTCAGGAATTGGGGAGATTAGGGAAGGGGAGGTTAATTGGGCCTCCGGTAACCTCACTCATACGACGAAACACAACGCAAGCGTTGCTTCACGTCGGCTTTCTGTGAGGCCGTGGTATCACTCCGGTCGAGCCGGCCCATTCGTGCCGATGCCGAAGCATGGCTCTCCCACACTTAAAAAAGTCGTTGGTAAAAAACTGATAGATCACATCAACTGGCGCCGCTTATAGGTATCCGGAGCACCGTGAGAGTTACAAGTACATTGCCGGGATGAGGAATTTCGGGATTTAGGGAATTGGGGATGAAAGAATGGAAGGGAGGACAAGATTGGACTTCCGGTAACATTAAAGTCACTTTAAATTTTTTGTTGACATTTAACGGTACCTTTTTGGTATAAATGATTTTGACTTTGACGTCGTTCATATGACGCGAAATAACGATTATTCCTGAAAGTTCCGTTAAAGCACTTATGTATAGTTCGGATATACACTCTGGTATAGTTTGGAGTGAGTGACGCTGATCGCTTACCATCAGTTGACCCGTACGCTCGATCATTTGCCCCATATTCCATAAAAATGCCTTCAAGGATAGAAACTGACGTTTCCAGGTCAACTAGCATTAAATAAATAGGAAATCTCAAGAATATAAATAACTTAAGTTGGCAAAGTAAAGCTTTTAAGAAAGTAATGCTTCTATAATTGTTCGATTAAAATTCTGCAACGTATGCGCCATAAATACTGGCTAAATGGCAGGGCTGGACTTTTGGATAGATGCCAGGTTGCTAACCCATGTCATATTATACCTACTTACACACACACAGTCCACAGATGATGGACAAAAGATAGGATTTCATTCCCGGATCGTAAAGTCTTATTATATTATGTGCCCATTATTTTCTTGTCACTGAAATCCTCAAAGAAATTCCAAATAGGCCGGCAATGGACTGGTAACACTTCTGATTTTGCGACTGGTCTGTCGAGTGATGTTTTTTAGCACTATGCCAGCAAATGAGATGACAGATCGCCCATGGAGACCCTCAACACCAAAGGAGACGACACTTTTTAAGGATTGAGAATTAGGCCTCCGGTAATCTCACTGACATGACTCCATACGATGTAGGCGTTGCTTCACGCCGGTGCACTATAAGACCGTTGTATTATTCTGGTCGAGCCGGACCATTCGTGCCGAAGCATGGCTCTTCCACGTGTGCTGTATTTCTTAAGTTTTTAATTACTGCCTAATTTATTTTGGATAACAAGATTAGATCATGATGATGTAGCCTTTTTTGTTGGGAAAATCCTAGTTTTTATGGGCTAAATAATTTTGCAATTAGACATGCATTATAATTGGTGCTTAGTCAAAAATGAATCTTGCGGTTTAGTATAGTAAAAAAAGTAAAAAGTGTTTGGAAAAACTAATTTTTTTTTGTTATTAATGTTAAGTATTGGTTTGGGAATGTTACGTGTGACTACTGTAGGTTTTCGATTCCTGAGTCGGGTTATCATTTTTGTGTTTCACTACTTTTTTTGTGGAGGGAAATCATTCGATGGCTTCTCCCGCCTTGAGTATGGCGAGATGGAGTGTCAGACTCTTACTGGCTAAAAACCACCCCGTTCCTTCTCCTGCACGTCGAGCCGGAGCCCCGGTAACCCGTTAGGCGTTCCGCGGCTCCGTATCGGGCAACATTCCTACTAGACCCCATCTGGGGTGGTCTGATGGCTCTTTGAGGTGTGCGCGGAACGGCGACACGCCCCGCCTCCTCCTGAGCTAGCACGACTTATTCGCAGAGGGAGGGATGACATCCCAATGCCCCTCGCTCCGTCCGACGCGAGAGGTCGCAGTCGCCAACTATATCCCTGAGGACACGGCGGTGCTCAAGCTCAACCCACGCAGAGCACACCGCCACCGTATGCTTAACCGTGTCCTTCGGGCGGTCCTCGGAGTAACTGTGTTTCACTACTTGCATTGCAATATGTATTGGGATATACAGCGCATTTATATTTATACATTTGATCGTCACTCTGAATGTATACTTGAACAATGTAAATGCCTCGAAATGGTTTTAATCTCGTGGGTACCTAATTTGATGATCTCATTTACCACCATCCGATAATCGAACTTTAGATACTTTAATCGCCATTTGACAATTATGATTACTTCAGGAGGTCCATAATCACACAGTGGGCAGTCATGGAATATTGAAATGAAGTAAAATTAACTTATAATTTTTCTACTAACCTGTCTGCATTGTGAAAATGATGAACGAAGATGTGAGGATCCAGTTTGTGTCTTCCAGGTCGATTTCGAAGCTCTCTTGGAGATTCACAGTTGTATTCGTCAAGTTTGGGGATCGTAACCCCATACGGGGGAACATAGTCCAATTCGTATCCATACTTAACTCCTTCGCGATATTTCAGAAGAAAAACACGATTTCTTATCTGTAGGTATGACCTACTGTCAACATTTGGCGGGAATAATTCCCACCGTTTTAGCTTTTATTAATATCAACACATGATAATTAAAGGTGATTTTTCGGTAAAATTCTCAAAAATAATTTTACGATTTATCGAAAGTCTTTCTTTCTTTCTATTTACTTTTCACTACGATTCACTTCTAAAAATTAAAACATAATAAATAAATCCATAATTCGACTAGAATTTTGCGCGGCAAAAAATGACAGTTATATTTTTTAATGTATTTGCACCGCGCGGGCACACGTCAGAAACGTTAAAATGCCAAATGAAATGCGTGTTTTCATTGCGATCTCTTTTATATTGGGGCAGTGAATCGCGTGACGGCTGTCGGTAAACAAATAAAGAATTGATGTGGTCTTCTGTAAATGCTAAACGGTTCAGTACGTCATTTAGTTGAAGTAATTTTACCATTATTTTAAGTACAGACGAAAGAAACGAAACTTTCCTTACTTAAGTATTTTTTTGTACTAATTTTTATTATTTCCTTTTTTATATTCTATCTATCTATCTGATTTATATATTTTTAAATACGTATTAAATATTTCCAAAAAAAAAAAAAACATTAAAAATATACAAAAAATTTCATTTTTATTTTTACAAGTTTTCATTGGTTTTAATGCTATTTCCAGTATATAAATTAATATGTCACAGAGACGCGCAATCAGCTTTAAGTGACTATGACTCAAAAATTAAAAAGAAACTTAGTCCAAACCCAGGAATAGAATTTAAGATCCGTGGCTCATAATTATCTTATGATCTCTCGAACAATGAGTTAGCCGATACCCTACATAAGTACATAGTGAAGATCTCACTATTGATTGATTGATTGCAGCAAAAAATCCTAATTTACTTACAGAATCTTAAATTCGAACAAAATACTTAAGTAATCTTATCCAAATACAATTTGAATTCTGCATGTGTAGATATAATGTGTTAAAAGGTAATTGTTTTAGGAGTCTGTGTACAAAAACTATACTAGAGATATCGAATTGAGGATGTGATTAATTAGGTAGGTACTTTGCTTAATCAAAAATAAATTATTTCGATGTTCAATACATAATAATATAAAAAAAATCACACTTTCATTAATTGATTTTATGACCAATATGATTAAACTGTCAAACACCAAGCGGTCACCGGTGACCGCGACCTATTGTTCTTTAATTGTGTCTATAAAACCGGTACTCGACGAGTTAAAATCGATTATTAATTTTGGCATAATGATACAGAACCATTGATACCAAACTCATACTTTACAACTAGTAATTTTTTAATAGCCATGTGACTTAGGCGTGATATGGTAGTAATAGAATAGAAGCAGTATATCTTAATTCTCTAGATTAATGTGTTAGAATCACTACATAGTATAAAACAAAGTCGCTATCCCCCGTCTGTCTGTCCCTATGTATGCTTTTTTTTTTTTTTTTTTTAAGGGGGGAAAATCGTCGAATGACTGCTCCCGCCTGGGTGAGGCGGGAGGGAGTGTCAGACTCTTACTGACTAAAAACCACCCCGTTCCTTCTCCTGCACGTCGAGCCGGAGCCCCGGTCACCCGTTAGGTTCTCCGCGACTCCGAATCGGCATCGGCCCTATTGGGCCCCATCTGTGGTGGACTGATGGCTCTTTGAGGCGCGCGCGGAACGCGACGCGCCGTACGCTCGGGTCTGTTTCTGGTCGGACGGGGAGCCACCCATGCTCGCCGTCCGCAGGCCCGCGCTTACGGTGGCCGGAGATCGTCTCGCGATCCCCGACGCCCGGTGTGTCCTTCGCGACGGCTGGGTTGCGAGGAGGCAGCGCTTCGCTGCCTCACGCGTCCCGCCTCCTCCTTAGCTAGCATGACTGCCCCTATGTATGCTTAGATCTTTAAAACTACGCAACGGATTTTGATGCGGTTTTCTTTAATAGATAGAGTGATTCTTAAGGAAGGTTTGTATGTATAATACATGCATATTGCACCCGTGCGAAGCCGGGGCGGGTCTCTAGTGAAAATATATGTTAAATCTTTATTTAATCAAGACTTGAAGACATTGGACATTACCATCTAGTTAGGTTAGAACTTATTTGCTTTATAGGGCTTCAGGTTTTCCGATTTGAGATCGATTGGTGACAGTCATCATAATTAACTAAAAATCGCGGGTTACTCACGTGAATATACTGAGAAAAGCTCTACTAGTTTCGAACCACAGAGGGATTTTTTCTCAAGCGTGCGCGGTCGCGATTGAGTAACCCGCGATTTTTAGTTAATTTAGTATATCTCACGATAGTTATTATAGAAACACAGTCACCATCATCACCAACAGCCTATGACTGTCCAATTTCACTGCTTGACTATAGACCTTCTCTAAATGAGAAGGTTTGTCATAATCTTCACAGTTTGCAGGCCATTCGCATGTCTCTAGCTGTAGTATCAAAACCAGCGTGCCCAGCCCACGTCCAAACTAACACATAACATCACGCCTTTTTGTAGAGGTCCACATATAGGCACTTAATACCACTATATAATGTAACACCCACTTTTCATTATTTATGTTATGAGTCCCATGTAATAGGGGGCGAGCCTATTGCCATTTACCGGGCACAATTCTAGACTCCGTGCTACTACTGATATTTTTTTTAAATCCGGTAATATTTTGCCCGACTCGGGAATTGAATCTGATATCCCTTGCCCGGAAAGCCGACTTGCGACCACTCGGCTAACGAGGCAGCCTTTTTATTTACTTTCTATTTCCTTACCTGCCTACTAAATAGATTGGGTCCTTCGAGAGTCGCGGAGAACCTAACGGGTAACCGGGGCTCCGGCTCGACGTGCAGGAGAAGGAACGGGGTGGTTTTTAGTCAGTAAGAGTCTGACACTCCCTCCCGCCTCACCCAGGCGGGAGCAGTCACTAGATGATTTTCCCCCCTTAAAAAAAAGTCGTTGTTTTCACAGAACATTATAAGTGGTTGTTTTAAGAGACTTTGTCGGTCCATTTTTCAGCGTCCTTGCTTAATGCCTGCATTTTACAGATAACAGTAAACCGTGGATTTAAGATAATGTTTACATATGAAATTTAACACTTGCATTGTACGCTAATTTCGAATAAACGGGTCAATGTCGATAGATAATATCGACTTAAAGGTCTTTGCAAAAAAGATGAATGTCAATTTTCTAACTAGAAGTCGGTGTTTCCTTAAGAATATTTATTTTTAAGTCATGTAAGAAGGATAATAACGTTTATTTGCACGAAGTATGGTAATTACAGGTGATAATAATTATAAAAATAGTCCCACATACATCGCCGACAAGTTAAATGTTTACAATTAATAAAGTTAAAATGTTACAATTAATAGGAACTAATTACAAAAATGCTTACAACTAGGATACATATATTATTTTTCTTAATATATTATTATGTTTTCTCTACTTTATTCACATACTTATTATTTTAGTGACTTACTAAATAACCAACGTACCTACTCAACATTGCACACATTAAATTTTCATTGTCAGAAACTCACCTAAGGTGTAGGTAGAAGTAACTGTCGATTAGTAGTTTATTTAATGTAATCTTAAATTTATTTAAAGGTAATTCTCTTATATGTTTAGGTATTTAGTTCAGGAGGTTTGAGTCTCTTATAGGAATGTTACAATTTAAAAGTTTAATTACTGTTATTATTAGATTTAATATTATATTCCACATTTCTACACCAGAAATGGTCAAACATGTTGATACTATGCTCACTGCTCATCTGTACAACTTACCTCGTGTGTTCATAAGTTTTGAGACAAGTTAAAAGTTGCATATATATCTTTTTAAATAATAAACTTATATTTATAAAAACAATAACAAACATTAAGTAGATGGTAAGTAAAAATTAAATATAATTATTATTCAAAATGACCACCCCTGTTTTTAATACATGCCCTTAGACGATTTGGCCAGTCATCAATGGCGGCACGAATCTTTTCCAGAGGAATTCGCTTCGCTTCTCGGACAAGAGCTCGCTTAAGTGACTCCAAGTTTGGGTGGGACTTTCGGCAGGCTCTGAGCTCTAATTCGGTCCATAGAGAATAATCCAGCGGGTTGAGGTCGGGGCTGGAGGAGGGCCATTCGTTCGCCGCAATGAAGGCCGGCGGCATATTTTCCTTCAGCCAAGCTTGGGTGGTTTTAGCCTTATGGGATGGCGCCGAGTCTTGCTGGAAAACCCAATACTTGTTATGGAATAGGGTATTAGACAGGGGTTTCACAACAGTCTCTAGAATGTCACTTTGATAATTTTTGGCTTTCACCTTGACGCCTTGTTGGCAGAAATGAAGCTGAGTGACACCTTCGTACGAAACTCCCCACCATACCATGACACTAGCCGGATGATGAGTACGCGAGACATTCCGTGCTGAAGGTGGGACATCCTTGCTACTTTTGGCATACACTTTATTGTTTTGTCGATTGAACTTTTCTTCGACGGTAAAGATTTTCTCGTCGGTGAAGAGTATCTTCCTCGCATCGTGTCTCCTAAGCAGTATTGGACAACGTTCGCGTCGCAATTGACGAAGGCGATCGTTTAAAAAGTGTACTTTTCTACGGCTATACGCCTTAACCTTGAGATCATATTTCAGTATTCTGTTGACTGAAACGCGCGAAATATTGGTCTGCAGAGCGAGTTTCTTCTGAGTGCGACATGGATTTCGGCGAAGTCGCTCTCGGATGATTTTAATGTTCGCAGGCGTCCTCACAGAGCGTGGACGACCACTTCTTTGCCGATCATGTAAAGAACTTGTCTCCTGGTATCGTTTAATAGTGTAATACTTACACGAAGTTACGGCTCACACCAAAACTTTTCAGTTCTCGGAAAATGTCCATAGGTTTTCTTCCCACCTTAAATAATGAAATGACGGTCGCACGTAATTCTTTTGTTCCCTCCATTACGAGAAAATTTA